TTCATCAGTGAGTTTTTTTTAACAATGTTAAGAATTTTGAGAAAAAAGAATAACGATTTATAATTAGAAAGATAAAATGTTTCGAAAAATATTTTAAGGATAATTTTAGATAAATAATATAATTTAAGGGGTAATAGAATATTTAAGCCAAGATATAAATAAGGATATACAAGTATTTTAGATGAATTAAAAGTGTTACCTCACTCTCAAATTGCCAAATACTAACTTCTCTTTTACCTTGTCCTCGAAGGTCTTTCTCATTTCTTTAACTAATAACTAACAAGAAATGAGTTACTAATTCATTTAAGGACTCAAGGAACTACGAAAATAAATTTATAATAATAAAAATATACTAAAAAGTTTGTCGAGTTTAAAAAGCTCAAAATCTCTCATAAGGTCATTTTTGTCAACTACGAAAAAAATGAGCTTGAAAAAGCTCTATAGGCGATGATTGTAACTCTTCTCTCTACAAATTCGTTTAAAAATTACTTGTCAATAAAGTTTTCACTTTTGATTGCTCTATTTGCTAGGGAAAAAAGAAATAAAGAGAGAACAAGAAGACAAAAGAATGAGATTGGAGGGAGGAGGAGGGAGTCAACTTTTATCATCGGGGCATGAATTGTCACATCACCAAAATTGAATGAAAATCATATTTTTACACATTAAAGGGTCTAATTTCAACTTTGGTCCTCCTCGCACCGAGTTTTAAAAATATCTTTTATGACTATTTGAGTCTAATTTTTCGCTAATTAGGCTCAAATCCCAATAATCTGGTCCACTCCTACATATACTCAATCCCAATAATCTGATCCACTCCCACATATCAAATGAGTGGGAGCCAAATGAAAATTTATATGCTCTTGAAAATTTTATATATTTTAAAACTTGAAATATTGAAAATAAAATTTTAATTATAATTTAGGGAATAAATGAGATATTCCTGATTAATTTAATGTCACATGTCATCCCTTACAATAACTAACGACAACTAATTGTGCAGTGTCTATTTTATAATAGAATCTAAAGTTTAACTTATATTTTATATTTTCTAAAATTTTAATTAAAAACTATCGTTTTGAGAGAGTTTAGTGACATTTCTAAACTTTATCAAAACATAAACCCAATTTAAATTTCTATGTTCGAGTTTCATCGCAGCTAGATTTATTTAAAATTATTTTGATTTGTACGAACCAATTGATCTTAATGATAAAATAATTGTTGTTATTCATTGAGAACTAGGGTTTGAGCACCATAGATATCGAGGATGTGAGTGCTCAATGTCGAAAAGCTAAAATAAAAAATTATCTTTAAAAAATATTATCTTGTACTTATCTTATATTAATAAAAAAAAGTGGTTGACTTATATTCGAATATATTAAAATTGTTAGTGTTTTTTATTATACTTGTACATTAAATTTTTTATTAAGGTTTACATCAAATTAAACAATATTGCCATAAATCAGCCAAACCGTGAATATAGTTAATAGTAGCATATATCTTCGTAAATGTTTTGGCTGTCTATAAAGTGGGAATGTAGTTGTCAAAGCATATTGGCTTGTTGTAACGGTTGCAGAGATTTGTCTTCTTCTTCAATCAAGTTTCGAGCCACACTTGACATCATCATGGACAAACATTCGTTTTCTTTATCAGATACGAATGTTTTGGTGGAAAACTGACAATGGCATTCCATTCTCTTTAGGACCAAATCGAATATCTCCTTAGAGCATATCCAACGCTGTGCTAAACTGGTGCATATCTCTAATGATTTGGGGGGGACATTTAAGTGTCTATTTTTATAATATTCTTTGCTTTAATGTGATAATCTGTTCTTTTAACTTAAAATAAGATCTTGCTTTAACATTTTTATTTAAAAAAAAGGTATAAATGGAAGAAATTAGATTGGGAACATTGATAATGGAAAAGTGATTTGATTTATTGAGATGCTCGCATCAAATGGCTTATTTATATATTTCTATCCGTCTTGCCTTCCACATTGAGATGTCTCCACTGTTTTTAATGATTAATTAACAATAATGGTGGGTTCCACTAGCAATCTCATTTAAAAGACACACCATGGATTCTTCCTCGTTCCTAATTCTTCTTACCATAATAGTTTTTGTGGCCACCGAGCTCATCATCATCATCGTTATTATTATATTATTATTATTATTATTATTATTATTATTATTATTATTATTATTATTATTATTATTATCTCTACACGCACTATTATCATTTAAATTAGATGAAATGAATCGTCTCACGTTATTATTATTTTTAATTAATTTAGATGATTATACGTAATTTTATTTATTTTAAATATTTTTAAGGTTAATTTGATGTAATTTTTTAAAATGACTTTCAAAAGTATTGTAGAAACGAATTTTTAAAGTGTTGTATAAAATTACAGTTTAAAAATTAACTGTTTGATATTATTGTTAAAAAAATTAGTTTGAAAAGATAAAAGATTCATTATAAACGTCATATTATAAATTAAAGATATAATATTTAAATTATATTTACACTTATTAATATTATGTTATATAAAAATATCAACTAAAACTATAATGAAAATATAAAAATATTTTAAGATAACTCATTAATGATATTTTATATATGAAATATTTTTATTAAAAATATATTATCAATACTTTTTAACACGTGTACATAAAATTATTATGAAATAATAATTTAAATATTATTTTTGAGAAAAAATATTATAAAAAGCATCATGAATTAAAATAAATTATTAAGTAATAAATTTTTTTTAAAGATGTTAGTATCAAATTATTAAAATTAAATATAAATACATAATTGAGTGGAGCTCATGTATTACTAATAGAAAATTATAATTTCTTTCAAAAGCAAAGTTGAAACTCATAAAACTATAATTTCTAGCTTTTGCGGTTGATTTGAAACCACTGTTTTCACTATATTTTTTTTTCCTTTTTTACTCATTTGTCATTGATTTTGTGGTCGAATCAGTCTTTTAGAAAATCACACTAAATAGAACTTAATCATCTGAGAATTAATGTTCGAATACCCTATAATTACTGATGATCGCAATCAAAACTTCTAAAGATAATAATTATTCATTTAACTATTGAAGTATTTTTTATTCATCTTCATATATTATTATTTTAAATTAATATTTATATAATGAATATGGATCAAATATAACTCATTCTAATAAAGATTTTTCTCAAAAATCATAAGATAGAAATTTAAATTCTCTCTAAACTACATGTTTAGTATCTAAACTATTACCTTTGTTTTATTTTGGTATTTAAACTTTATTTTATTTTACATCATTGAAAAATAAAAATTACCACATTAGTAGTTTTGTTAATTTTTTAACGGTATAATACAAATTAAAACATAAACTAAACATGAAATATTATTTTTAAAAATAAAAAAAATAAAATATTAAACGTATAATTTACCTAAAAAAATAATTATAACATCATCTAATTCATTTGTCGGTTCGTTATTTTTCTTAGGTTTGGGTTTTTATTTGTCTGTTCGTTGTTTTTCTTAGATTTGGATTTTTATTTGGCGGGATGGGGACGTTTCTCCAAAAATATTAAGTAGATAATAACCACTTATCATTTAATAAAAATATTTTAAGCTTTTCAATTTTATTTATTTCAATTATATTTTTATTATAATTCATATTCCTCAAATAATTTAATTATATTAAGTATTTAATTTTAAACAAAACACCTTATATATTTTTATAATTTAAATTCAGCAAAAATGTGAATTTTCAATCAACCGGAATTTGAAATGAACAATTTAAAATGATTTGAGAATCTTTATAGAAATATTTTTGGTTTAAAATTCTATTTAAAACACAAATATATATATATATATATAAAGCATGTATACAAACAAGGTTGCGGGGCTATGGGCCCTGCGAGGTTGGACTCTCTGATAAATATCGTTGGCTATATCCTCTTATATTGGGTAAACTAATCGTGGTATTTCTTGTTTTCATTTTGTCTTATTTTGGTTATTAGATTTGAAAAGGTTATATTTTGATTATTATTATTATTTATCTATTTTATTTTTGTCACCAACCGTTAATTAATATCAGTTTAATGTATGCTATATTTGTAAGAATGGTTAAATTTTAACTTGAACCTTAAGTTTTAGATGAAATATTAATTTGACCTTAAAATTTAAATAAAAGATTAATTTGACTCATAAATTTTTAAAAAAATTTATTTAACCCTCGAATCCAGTCAAATCCTTGTCTCTTGCTTTCATTTCTATTTTTTTTATTACCGTTGGCTGCCATCACCAATCACCACCGACTGTACTCACCAATGATTGTTAGACCTAAAATTTTTACTTCACTTATTTTTAACCTCTTAAATGTGAATCTAACGTATTTTTCATAATAAAAACTAAATTTTTACAAATCTAGCCTAAAATCCTTCAAATTCCTATAAGATTAATTGCAATAATAAATTTATTATTATATTCGTTTAAAAATAAGTACATCAAAAATTTAAGACTATATCCTAATCTAAATCTAAATTTATATTATAATATAATTATATTATAATAATAATACTTTACTTTACATAAATTTTGCTAAATTTCATATTATAATTTTGATAAAATTATAACTTATAGTTTATAAAAATCCACCGATAAAATTGATACGATTACATGTAAATATTTTTCATTATTATAAATTTTGATTTTTTATATTTTTTATTTTAAAAAGAATATAATGATAAATTTAATATTATAATTTAATGTTAAAAGGTTCTAAACTTGGTTTGTAGAATTTAGAATAATTTTTAATGAACCCAACATCATATTTCTGTTGAGAAAGTAAAACTTTATTGAATTGGAAACAATCATCTGACGATAACAAGTGACAGTGATAAATAAAAAATATATTAACATTTCAAAAAACATATTACTTCAACCTTATATTATGCTGCTTTCTTAGACGTCCCATAAGCTAGTGCCTTCCCCACTTCAAAAACAAGAAGGAAAAAGAAAGCTTCTTTATTCATTATTCTATTCTAGATTTCCATTGGTGCACAAATCTGACCGTAACTATCCAGTTAATCTAATCACACCATCCAAACTCAAACCTCATCACTGACGTTTCTTCTGTTAAATCTCGCCCTTTGACCCTTCTATATATATATCAGTCGTAAGTACGTTATCCAGGGCGACCGGAGAGATTTTAAGAGATCGGAGAACAATGGAAGCTGTTGTAGCCGCAAACCCGGTGATCAAAGTGGCTGCCCTTTGTGGGTCTTTAAGGAAAGGTTCTTTTAACAGAGGCTTAATTCGAACGGGTAAGTGTTTTCGGTCCATCTTTAATTTGTTTCTTTCGGCTTTGGGATTTTTATTTGGTTCTCTGGGAATGTTGATTTTTGTTTTTGTATTTCAGCTTTGGAGATTAGTAAGGAGTCCATTAATGGGATTCAAATGGAATACATAGACATTTCACCACTTCCAATGCTCAACACAGATCTGGAAGCTGATGGGAAGTTTCCCCCTGTTGTTGAGGCTTTCAGGAAGAAGATTTTGGAGTCTGATAGCATCCTTTTTGCCTCCCCGGAATACAACTATTCGGTTACTGGTATATTCTATTCGTCTTCCCTTAAAATTTATAAATTGTCAATGAATCAGATGAACAGCTATTCATATTTATAGATTAACCACTCTATACCAAAGCAAGCCATATCACATTAAGTTATTATGTACCACATTCTAGCACCTCTGAAGAATGCAATTGACTGGGCTTCAAGACCACCAAATGTATGGGGAGATAAAGCGGCTGCTATCATAAGCGCCGGAGGAGGCTTCGGTGGTGCTCGGTCGCATTATCATCTTCGCCAAATCGGGATTTATCTTGATCTCCATTTCATCAATAAACCCGAGTTTTACTTGAGCGCGTTTCAGCCTCCAGCAAAGTTTGATAGCGATGGCAACCTTATCGATCCATCGTCGAAGGAGAAGATAAAGGAAGTTCTTCTATCCTTGCAAGCATTTACCCTGCGTCTCCAAGGTAAAAACTAAGTAAACAAATCTCCATCTCGATTGTTCCTTTGTTACTGTGGTGGATTAGAATTTTCTGTGGTTTTTGGATTTCCTGTTGTAATGGTGCAATTTGATGCACTAATAACCAAATGCTACTTGGACAAAGGAAAAAACAAAACTATACACATTTGGCCAGTCCATTGTTTACAAGCATTGCCTAAATCTCTGTTGAATAGTTTGCTCGGTTCGATTTGATTTTATACTCGACTCGAAAAACGTATTTTACATATTTTACAATCCAATCTGTACAATTCTTATTGTATCCATCAATCAGGGGTACCTTTTTACCTGAAAATGTCAACAAGTACATCCCCTGTCGTCGATATCAACTCTAAAAGGTCTTGGTGAGACTCGTCGTACAAAACCAACGGTTTACCCCAACTCTAAATGTACGATTGAAAATGAAAAATAAGGTTAAAATATACAAATAGTATTCATATATTCCGTTAACTCTCTCGTTATTAAAAATTATAAAATGATTCCTTAAATATATGATACTATTTTATTGAGTTTATCGACTATTAAAACTTACATGATAATCAGTTGGTTATTCATATATTTCAAATTCATATTTTTTTACTAAAAATTGACTGACATCTAAGTTGAACCTTAAACTATTGATAAATGTATGATAAAATAATATTTTAATGACGCTACTAGTAAATCATTACTTTCAAATCTCTAACTCGACGATATAATATTTCAAACATTGATTCAACAATATAATGTAAACGAAGAGTTCGATTCACAAAATATATTTTAAGTGATTATGAGATAAAATTTTAACATATTTCAATCAACAAGTTAAATCCAACTTAGACGACGACCATCAATTTTTAACGAAAAATGACGAATTTAGAACGTATAAATAATTATATGATCATTTTGTAATTTTTAATAATAAAAAATTCAACAAAATAACATATGAAGAAAAATAATTTGTGTACTTTACCTAGAAAAATAACATGATTAATAATTTCGCCAAACGGTTAAGTGAGCAGTCTCCCCCACCTAATTTACTCAAATTTGACTCTTATGAGAGGTAAAATTTAATTTTAAACGTGACATAATCTAATGAATTTTATAAAAATATTAATTGTAATTCATTTAACAAAAATCTAGTATTATATTGCATAGTCGCATTTAATAGTAGAAAGTATTAACATTTAGTTAACTAATAATTTTAATTTAAAATATTTATTTTAATTAAAAACTAAAATATTGAAAATAAAATATTAAAAAATATACTTAAATGACTACTCATTCCAATATTAAAATTCATTTTAATATATGCCAACTATTTTATAAAAAAAATTATAGAAAAATACAACAACATAAAAGAAAAAAACAATATAAGAAGAAGAATGGAGTTTTAGTTAGCGACAATGAAAGAGTAATGTACTAAAAATTAGTGCTAAAATTGGGAGATTTTCAGACTCTAAAAATGGCGATCAAATGATTACCACCCTTTCTAATGGCTCTCCAACTGTTTGGTCTGGCAGACATTTTAGGAGCCAAATCCGTAAATCTAAGAAATTAGGTTTTTGTTCCAACCAAACCAGAAAGCACCCAGAAACAAAGAACCAACGAAAAAGCCATTAATTTTACCAATCTTACTTCAACCCAACAGCTCCCGTCTCTTTGTAAATTTGTTACTTTTTTCCCCCAAAATCTGAAAAACACCCATTTCTTAAAATTTAAAAAAACAGACAAAAAGCTCAGAACTTCCAAAAAAGAAAAAAAAAATACTACTAATGAAGAAGATTTGAAGTTTTCTTCTTCTTCTTCTTCTTTTTGTGTTGATTTTGTTTATGTAGACGATTACATTTCCCTCCAAGTTTCTCATCTTCAATGTGAGGTTCCAGAGGTGCTTTCCTTTTTCTTTGTTTTGTTGGTCTTCCTCAAAACCCCACATTGAGAAGAAATACGAATAGAGACAATTTTTTTTTATCATTTTGTTATTTTTTGAAAGAAAAAGGAATGCAGGTTTACTCATAGAATGAGCAAAAAGCTTGGCTTTAGAAAGGCCCTGGAAACTAAAGTAAAGAAATCACAAGTAGCTGCAAAGAAGAAAGCAATAAGCATATTTACAGCAATGTCTGTTGCTCATGTCGATGAGGAAGAGGCTGGTTCCGGTGAAGTTCGCTATGTTGAAAAAGTCCTTCCAAAGGGTGACTTTTATATAGGTGAATGGTGTGATGGTTTGCCTCATGGCAATGGAAAATATTTATGGACCGATGGATGCATGTATGTTGGTGAATGGTTTAAAGGGAAGATCATGGGGAAAGGGAAGTTCTGTTGGCCTTCAGGTGCCACCTATGAAGGTGAATTCAAGAGTGGTTTTATGGATGGTCAAGGGACTTTTGCAGGTTTTTCAGGTGACTCTTATAAGGGTTCTTGGGTTATGAACCTTAAACATGGACAAGGGGTTAAGAATTACTACAATGGGGATTACTACGAAGGCGAATGGCGAAGCGGATACCAGGAGGGACAAGGGAAGTACCAGTGGCAAAATGGGAATCATTATGATGGTGCATGGAGGAATGGGTTAATGAATGGGAATGGAATATTGGTGTGGAGTAATGGGAACAGTTATGAGGGTTCTTGGGAGGATGGTTTTCCTAAAGGAAATGGGACTTTCATATTTCCAGATGGGAGTTTTTATGTTGGCGTTTGGAGTAAGGATGGTAAGGATATGAAGGGGAGTTATAATCCTTCGGATTCTTCGACGGAGAATCCGGAATGGGATCCTCGAATTGTATGTTCAGAGTATTTAAAAGATTGTAAGATATGTCCGGGTGAGAGGATGTCGATTTTGCCATCGAAAAAGATGCCACATTGGCCTGGAATGAGCAAAAGTACTGATGGGAGGCAAAGGAGAATGTCGGATGGGAAGTTGAATTGTCGGAGTTGGATTTCTGATATGCCTGATGTTTCAGCTACTAGTGAAGGGGATTCCAAAGATGGTGATGATGGAATTGAAAGTCTTTGTCTAGAAGATTCAAGTTCAAGAGGGAGTTGCATACAGTTTAAGATGCCGACGAAGAGGCAGGGGCAAACAATATCGAAAGGGCACAAGAATTATGAGCTAATGCTCAATTTGCAACTTGGTATCAGGTAATGTACTTTCCTCTGGTATTGAAATTCTAATGTTGTTCGAATGTTGGGTTTTCTAGGTAAGTGCATTGCCTTAATGTCAATATCACTTGTTTTTGGCATGTGCATTGCCTTTTAAACTAAGCATATCAAGTTCATGGAGTCTTTATTCCCTTATTTACTGTTGTCACTTGACTCATTTTGTTTTCTTTAGAGGGTCGTCACTTGCGGTTCAGTTTGAATTGAATATTTTTCGATCTCCAACTCATTTCAGTATTGAGATGTATTGGTTTATGTTGTTATCATGCATGTATTGATTCTCTGGTTGCATTGTAGACACTCAGTGGGAAGACCTGGTCCAGCTATATCCCTTGATCTGAAGTCCTCGGCTTTCGATCCTAAGGAAAAAGTATGGACCAAATTTCCGCCCGAAGGATCCAAGCACACTCCGCCTCATCAATCTAGCGAATTCAGGTGGAAGGATTATTGTCCACTTGTGTTCAGGTTAGACTGGATCATCTACTTGTTCACAACAGAATCATTCTTTGCAGAACAATTTAGTCTTATGGTACAACTACTTTAGGCACTAATGTAGTTTTTAAGCAAATGGAAACCTACTAAGCAATTCATTACATGATAATGAAACTAGAATTGTATCATATGAATTTGGAACCATATTATGTGGTTACAAGTAGTCCCTAACATGTAATTTTTTTTACATTTTCAGAACGCTTAGGAAATTGTTCGATGTGGATGCAGCTGATTACATGATTTCGATATGCGGGAATGATGCCCTTCGGGAACTTTCATCCCCCGGGAAAAGTGGAAGTTTCTTTTACTTGACCAATGATGACAAATACATGATAAAGACGATAAAGAAGGCAGAAGGAAAAGTAAAGAGTTTATTGTTCTTCCTATTGCACTTTTGCTGTTGAATTCAGAAATTATAATGTAGCTTTGTATTCAGCTGCAATTTCTCGTAGATTTGTATTGGAAACAAAACTTTTATGTTTCATAAGGGTCACCATACATCTTTAAAACTTTTTTCTAGATGACAATAATTGGTCTCTCCCTATTCATTACATCATGAAATTTCAAGTGCTTTAAATGTTTACAATTCCTAGTGACGACACTTTTCAGGTGCTCCTAAGGATGCTTCCGGCCTACTATAATCATGTTCGGTCCTTTGATAACACTCTAGTCACCAAGTTTTATGGTCTTCATTGCGTGAAATTAACCGGGACAGCTCAGAAGAAGGTAATGTCAATGTTACAAAACTTTAACTTACAGCATAATGCCTCAGAAACCATTCTCATCCATTGTTCATTTGGGATCAATGAGTCAGGTACGGTTTGTTATAATGGGGAATCTGTTATGTACTCAATACACCATTCATAGGCGCTTTGACTTGAAAGGTTCATCCCACGGTCGCACAACTTCTAAACCTGAATCAGAAATTGATCCGTCGACAACCCTCAAAGACCTTGATCTCAATTATTTATTTCGGTTGGAGAAAATGTGGTTTGAAGAGTTCTGCAGGTGATTATCTTTTCTAAATCCTATTTCTTTTATAGATATCATCATTTCTTTAACCTATGTTACTTGGACTCGGGTGTGAGTGTTGGATATGGGTCTGTTTACGAGTTTTATCAAAAATTTCAACCCCAAACTGTTGTAGGATATTGCAGAGGGTTGAAATTTTTAGTACCTTCATAACTCTTCGAGTGTTAAGCATGGACTTTTCGAATGTTCTTTTCTGAATCAAGTTTCCCTTCATGCAGGCAAGTTGATAAAGATTGTGCGTTGCTTGAACAAGAGAGAATTATGGACTACAGTCTTCTGATCGGTTTTCACTTTCGAGAAGTTCCCACACCTCTTACTTCTGGAGCTGTCTCACCTACTGGTTATTTCTAATGATCTCTGGTATTAAAATGTTTTGGGACTTTCATACCAATGTCTGCTTAACCGATTAGGATATGTTTCTGGATCTACTTGCAGGAAATGGAGACCATGAAAGTGAAGAAGCTCCTCGACTATCTCAAGCCGGACAGGATCAGACCAATAGTGAATCCCCAGGGTAAGATGAATGATTTTGTTTTCGAACACTCATCTATAAGTCACACATTTTCAAATGGTTGCAAATTGATGGTTGATCTTTCAAATTGACAATGCAGGAGATCTATTCGATTAGGTATAAACATGCCTGCACGGGTCGAAAAGATAGTGAGGAAAAGCGATGAAACTCAGCTTGTTGGGGAACCAACTGGTATATGCTATGACGTTATCCTCTTTTTCGGTATAATCGACATCCTACAAGACTATGATATTACCAAGAAGCTCGAGCATGCATATAAATCAATGCAATACGATCCAACTTCGATTTCAGCTGTTGATCCAAAGCAATACTCAAAACGCTTTCGGGACTTCATCTTCAAAGTTTTCGTAGAGGACACATGAAAAGATACATTTGACATAGACCTTCAACTTGGAACCAGTGTCCATTCATGGACATTTGATTGTTTTTCGGAGATGCGAGTGCTTAAAAGCAAAAAGGTTATCGCTTTTCGATCATGTGAACGACCACGGAGGACGATCTACGACGACATAGGACACACCTTCATAACTCGGGATTAGGTTATTGTCCTCTCTTCATCTCCCTTATTCTACAGTTGCAGATAAAATATATACATATATATGTTATGTTATAGTGAAAGGTTTAGGTTGATATAAACCAGAGTTACTAAAGCTTGATTCAAATGTAAATGAATTGAAATGGTGAAAACATATACATTGGGATTGAATTATTTCTTGGAACTGAAAATTATTTGGGTTCAGCTTCAAATAATAATGCACAATAATTGAAAGGGGGAAAAATCCAAAATTTTAGTTTGCTTATATTGAAGATGCTTCTCTTCTATCATATTTAATGCCCCTTTAAATGCCATTTTTTACCAAAATTCAAAGTTGGTATTTCTTCTCTTCTCCATTAAGGCTACTAAAACCCTTAATTGAAAAATCCATTCTTGGGTTTCGAAACTCAAAGCCCTAACAGCACCAAATTGGACTTCTTATACCACAAGAAACCACCTACTTGCGTTTCAAGTTTCTAAAACATCGAACATGCATGTTATATCCAACAAACAAGAAACATACAATCATAAACACTTTCCACAAGCATCAAATGATTTATCATACTAGCTAATTCTCTTTTAACATTCATCATTAACAAACCACCAATTTAACCTACAATGATTACCTATTGGAACTCTCGTTAAACACATACAACAAACTATTTTACAAGCATAAAAAATCATACACCCCATATTTGATATTTCACAAGCATCAATATAAGTTCTCGGATATGAGAAAGAAGAATCCGTGGATTCAACCCCATATTTCACAAGATACAGTTGTTTTGAACTTCGAGTATCTTCTTCGATATAAAGTTCCTACATGCAGGGCCAAGCTTGGTGAAGTAGTTGTTCGACAAGGACAAATTCTGAAGTGTTTGGACTTTACAAACGATTTCGGGTACTTCCCCAATAGAACTCATTGTTAGCCAAGTTGAGTGGCTCGATGCTTTTCAAGCACCCGAACGAGTGTGGGATCAGATCCATCATCGAACACGGTTGCTTGACTCAGGTTACCAATCTAGTATGACAAACATCCTGTAAGCTGATTGTTCAGGAAAAGCACTTCGACTAAGTTTTAAGCTTTACAGATATTTGTCGGAATCGGATTACTGAACTTGTTGTCTGCAAATGTGTGGTATAAAACCAGCGTGTTGCCCAGATTCTGGGGTTGTCTTGATTGGGATGTACTGAAGTAATAAAGTTACAGATACAAATTACTTGGTTGTTGTGAGCATGACTATCAATGGTGTGAAAATCAGTGGTTTTTTTGAAAGATGATGAAAAAAGAAAAAGAAAAAAAAGGTGGAAAAAGATAAAGGAGTTTATTAAAAAAATATTTTTTTTAAAGTTGAAGTATAATAAATGTGACGGTAAATTATCACATTAGTATTCTATTATCTTTAGTAGTGATTATTAATAGTAAGTAATCAATTTGTTATAAATTAATAATATTAATGATTAATTTATTAATTTTAAAATTTTAATGAAAGATAAAAATTACTCAACCTTTAATGATGAGTTGTATATTTTACTATTTTAATAATTAAATTAAACAATTTTAAATTTCAATAATTGAAACAAAAATAAAAAGGATAATTGAGTAATAGTTATTTAAAAATACATAATATCAATTCCACGTTTATATTATAAAAATATCAAATCTAAGAAATGACCATCCAGTTCAGTTGGTAGAGTACAAGGTTTTTAACCTTGAGATCGTGGGATCGAGTCCCACGGAGGACATTTCATAATTCGGAGGTCTCTTATGAAAGCTGCTCTTAACCTGATGTTGGGGTAGCCTACTATCTTAACTCCCTTTACCTCTCATATATATATATATATATATATATATATGAAAAAAAAGACAGCCAATTTTTTTTTCTCAAACCCTTGTTATCTGACAACCTCACTTATTTTAAGATAAGAAAAAGAAAGGCACGGACTTCCACATACTTTTGACCTTTTCAGTGGCCACTTTTCAAACGTTGTGGATGTAAAAAATTGTTGAATTTTGAAGAACCCCAGATTTGATCAAACCAAAAATTTAGGCCAAGAAGAATGAGTTCATCAAAGAGAACGACGAAGTTGGAAGTTGAATCACCAGTGCCAGCTGACATAGATATTGCAAACTCGGTTGAACCATTTCATATTTCTGAGATTGCTAAGGATCTTAATCTCAGTCCCAACCATTATGACCTTTATGGCAAATACAAAGCCAAAGTCTCTCTCTTTTCCCTTTCTTTGTTTCTTTATGGTTATTGGATTTTGAATTATGCTGTTCTATGCTTTTGTTATTTGTTTTTTTTGTTCAAAGATTATCAAGATATGGGGTTTTGGATTCTTTAATGATTGATTTAATCGGTTCATGCTGTGATTTTGATATGTGAAAATTTTATTTTTTCCTTTGATTTTTCTTGGTATTTTCTCATCTGTCAACAATAAAGCTTTTCCCTTTACTTTTTGTAATCCCTGAACTCCCAATATTGAGATAATGCAGGAAATGGAAAAGAAGAGAAAGGGTCAATTTTTTTTTCTTGATTTCTGGCTTATTTGTGATGGAATGGAAGAGTATTGAATGAAGAGATCATTTATTTTATATGCTTTTCCTTTAATTTTTTCTTATTAATATTGGCCACTGAGTTTGGATTTCAATTCTAATTACTGTCTTGATTTGGTTTGTAGGTGTTGTTATCCGTACTCGATGAACTTGAACAAAGCGACGACGGATATTATGTCGTGATTGGAGGGATTACTCCAACTCCTCTTGGAGAAGGCAAGTCCACTACTACTGTTGGGCTGTGTCAAGCTTTGGGTGCTTATCTTGATAAAATGGTATTCGTTTATCTTTTTACATAGGCAATACCAAATAAAATTGTGTTGCTCCTGCACTTGTAGGGCTACAAGATCGAATTGTTTTCACTTATTGAGTGTTTCGTATTGTGTTTGAGATCCTCTTTTGTTGTTGTTTCTACCTTTTGCAGCATTGACACTGAATAAGTTTGAACCTTAAATCTCTTATTTTGTTAAATGAACAAGATTGCTGCTGAATCCTGGCACTCACACTTTATGGTCAATAAATAATGGCTGAAATTGAGGCTCCACGATTCTTGTTGATTTGAATTGCTTATTCACAAATTACCCTGTTAAGCAATCTCGATCTTTGAAGCTACCCTTATGGTTGGAAACGGCTTTTCAATCTCTTTGTATGTAATTTCAGTTTGAAAGAATTCCAAACCGAGATTTACTACATTGATTCAACTTTTTTGTAACTTTTAAAACTTACTAGATGAAACTTACACACTATGTTTTCCAGTTCTCCCTGAAAGTTTGTTTTTAAGGAGCTACGACCCTTCATCATTTGACATGAATGCAGAAGTTTCGAATTTGAAAATCTGATGTTTTAACTACTTAAAGCAATCCTGATACTATATATTGTTCTCTATTGATAGGTCATTACATGTCTTCGCCAACCTTCACAAGGACCGACTTTTGGAATAAAAGGCGGTGCAGCTGGTGGAGGCTACAGTCAGGTGATCCCGATGGATGAATTCAATCTTCATCTAACCGGAGATATTCATGCAATAACGGCTGCAAACAATCTACTTGCTGCTGCCATTGATACTAGGATCTTTCATGAATCAACCCAATCAGACAAGGCTCTTTTTAATCGATTATGTCCGCCAAATAAACAAGGAAAAAGGAAATTCAGTGATATCATGTTTAGACGACTGAAGAAGCTTGGTATCACTAAAACACAGCCTGAGGACCTTACACCTGAAGAAGCTGCAAAATTTGCTAGGCTTGATATTGACCCGAATTCTATTACGTGGAGAAGAGTGATGGACGTAAATGATCGCTTTTTGAGGAAAATCACTGTTGGCCAAGGCCCGGAAGAAAAAGGGATGGCGAGGGAAACAGGATTTGATATTTCAGTTGCTAGTGAAATAATGGCAGTTTTAGCCCTGACAACATCTCTCGCTGATATGAGAGAGCGGCTCGGAAAAATGGTGATCGGAAATAGTAAGGCTGGTGACCCTATAACTGCTGATGATCTTGGCGTCGGGGGTGCTTTAACAGTGCTCATGAAGGATGCCATTAACCCTACTCTGATGCAGACCCTCGAGGGAACCCCTGTTCTTGTACATGCCGGCCCGTTTGCAAACATTGCTCATGGTAATTCATCTATTGTTGCTGATAAAATTGCATTGAAGCTGGTTGGACCGCAAGGGTTTGTGGTCACCGAAGCAGGTTTTGGTGCCGATATTGGAACAGAAAAGTTCATGAACATCAAGTGTAGATACAGTGGTCTAAGACCTCACTGTGCTGTTATCGTGGCAACAATAAGGGCCTTGAAAATGCATGGTGGCGGACCAGAGGTTGTTGCAGGGAAGCCTCTCGACCCTGCTTACTTAAGCGAAAACATTCCTTTGGTTGAAGCTGGTTGTGTTAATTTGGCCAGGCATATTGTAAACACTAAGGCCTATGGTGTAAATGTTGTTGTTGCTGTGAACAAATTCTCAACCGACACTGAAGCAGAAATGAATGCTGTTATACATGCATCTATGGCTGCTGGAGCATTTGATGCTGTAATCTGTACCCATCATGCTCATGGTGGTAAAGGAGCGGTTAGTTCCTTCTCCCAGTCTATTAGTTTCCGTAAAAGCATAGTGATGCAGTCAAAGGTGCATATAGTACCTACTTTGTCTTGCACATGGCATCTCTTTTATGTTATTCGTACTCTGGTGTCTAGGATATGAGTTTATGTCCAACAGGTGTGTCGCATATTCCCATGCCAGCGACCGTAATATGTTGGACATGGGTAGTTAAAGAAAAATACGAAGAGTTGGGCAAAGAACTAATGCTCTATGGTTTCAATCTTTTAAATCTGCAATTTCTTACTGTGCTATCTACTCTAGACATTGTTCGAGATCTGACTTCATTGTTTACCTCCGAGACACCGGATTTCTTTGTGAAATTCCTCCAGTTTCTGGGTCATCTTATTTTACTAAATCAAAAAGCGACTTGGACCATTTGAAATATGTGGTTTTAAGCTAAGTAATGAGTTTAAATCGTTCAAGCTTTCTACATTTGAGTTACAGTTGGAGTTCGAATATATTTCCCTTTCCACCTGTAATATTATTCCGAGTTCTTAATTTTTAGCTTTGTATTTAGTTATGTAAAACCAGTCTCATGAAGTTGACTTGAAGTTTTCAATGAGTAACAGATTACTTTTATTTTTGTCAGGTCGAACTTGGAGTTGCAGTTCAAAAGGCCTGTGCGAGTGTGAATCAGCCGCTAAATTTCCTGTATCATTTGGATATTAGTATAAAAGAGAAAATCGAGGCGATTGCAAGGTCATACGGTGCCAGTGGGGTCGAATACTCCGAACAGGTAAACTCCTAATACATCTTTAATCGATTTCTTCCACGACAACCCTTTCAAGTTAACATGGCTTTGATCTTGCCCACATCATTACTCGAATTTAGTTACTGTATTTCAGAGTTCTTGTCTTTTTAGTTCGGATGAGTTCTGTTCCTTATTCAGTTCGGATTTGTATTGCATATTAAATGTTCCAACTCACTTCAGGTCTGTTTTTTGGATCACGGAGTGAAAAACCGATAATATCCGAACTGAATTCGGGTTTAATGACCAAGTATAGTCAAAAACTGATCAAGAGTTTCCCCATTGACATGAATATTTTTTTTGTCCTCAAATCAGGCTGAGAAACAGATTGAGATGTACACCAAACAAGGGTTTTCCGGTTTACCAATCTGCATGGCGAAAACGCAGTACTCATTTTCGCACAATGCGGCACAGAAGGGTGCACCAAGCGGATTTATCTTACCGATAAGGGATGTGCGAGCCAGTATAGGAGCCGGCTTCATTTATCCTTTAGTTGGTACAATGAGCACGATGCCAGGACTACCAACAAGGCCATGCTTTTACGAAATCGATCTCGACACCACCACCGGAAAGGTTATTGGTCTTTCATGAAAGCTCCGTTGAAATCTCGCGAGAGACCAGGTTTGATTCTCTAAGAAACTTTGCCTGAGGGCTCGTTGAGCACGTGCATTTGGTTCTTGGTATTTCTGTTGGTTAGTGTTTAGAGTTGTTATCCGTGTTACTTTATCGCGAGGTTGAACACTTGTGAAAAATACTGAATCTGGGTTTTAATCATCTCTTTCAGTCTGGAATAAAATCTGTCTCTCTCTCTCTCTCTCCCTCTCTCTCCATGGGGTTGTAATGATTCGGTAAGCTTTGCTTCTTATTGTTGGCAGTGGACATCTATTATTTTATCCAAGTTATAAAAATGAATTGCTTTTGCAGTTCATATTTGGAATATATGCTAGCGCTTGTTAGGGAGTCTAAAATATAAGGAGTTCATATAAGCTTTAAAAAAAAAGTTGTAATTGACTGGAAATCTTATTAAGGGTTGGTTATCTATAACTTTTGAAAAGTAATTTTTTTAATAACGTTGTAAAAACGAATTTTTAAAAGCGTAGTATAAGAGTGAGATTTAAAATTTAATTGTTTAGAATTATTGTTAAAAAGTAAGTTTGAAAATATAAAATATTTATTATAAATATTATACTGTAAATTAAAAATATAACATTTAAATTATATTTGTACTTATATATATGAATCGTATCAATTTAAACTATAATAAATTCAAGAAAAATTATCATTATATAAATTTAAATTATAATCAAAATATATTTTATATAACTCATTATTAATATTTTAATATATAAATCACAAATTTTATTTATTTTAAAATAATTAATATAAATTATTAAAAATAATAAATTATTTTAAAATATGTTAATATTAAATTATTAAAATAAAACATAAATACATAATTGAGTAGAGTCTATGTGTAACACCCTAAACCCGAATGGGCCTAAAGTGTCATATTGTGTTGTCGAGGCAACCCTTGATTTTCAAAATCTGTTTATTTTCATTTCAAATATATTGAATGGTATCATAAAAAACATAAATAACTGTTATAAAACATTTTATTAATCGGAGCTCAGTAACGCATAATTTAAAATCAAAATAATACAAACTCAGAGTTAATAAACCAAATACATAAGTAAGGTCTTATGAATACATATGTCCACTAAAGCTATAGTACGATACTCTGAAGGAGATTCTTAAGCCTCGTCATGAGTATACCTCTAAAGGGTCTATAACTCTAATGACTGTACCTGCTTTGCATTATCTAAATGTGACAATGACATTCTTTTGCATTATCTAAACACAACAATGACTCTGTTGTGTATTATATAAATGCCACACAGACTAGTATCTGATCTCATATAGCCATCAGTTACTAGTTAAATGAGGGAACCCAACGTCACATATGAAATTCCCACTAAGTTGCTGAATAATTTCTTGGTCCTCGCATAATTATCATCAGGTAGATCATGGAAGGGAAATCCAGTGTCACATAACATCAGTACAATTCCCACTCAACTGAAGCATTGACTCAGTCTCACACAATCTTCAAGTCAAGTTCTAACAGTATCTGTTGTATTGGATTGACGTAACTATACATATATATCTAAGGGCCCCAAGGTCACACAATTATGACATCACTAACCCACTCTTTGTGAGTGTTCGAGCCTCGCGTCCTAGTTAGCTACTGAAGTGCCTTGCACACTGACAATACCCGACTATAGTAACTAAGGTAACCTAATTACACTCTAGCATAACTAGACACACTAAGGTGATTTCATCCTCTCACTAAAAATTCATTATAATATAATATTTCGATTATAATTAAAATTATTATTAATGTGACTTTCAATGAAAACACGCATTGTGGGGTAGAAAATGTTGACCAAGTCCGGATAAATCAGTTGCAAAATTAGACACCGATAAATGTAGGCTTATTGACTGGGATTGTCAGCTATGTAACACTTGGCATCTAATAATCTTGCGCTCATGCAAATTTCTTCGATCTTGAAAGCTAAATACAGTATTGAATCATCTAGAATTTCCCAACGTGTGATACGTGTCAGCTGGAAGACTATGAATATAATATCGTTAAATATCGACTCAAATTCTAATTAAAAATAAGTCAAAATTATTTAGTGATTAATTTTATTTAATTAAAATTGTTTATGTAAGAAGGATTCTTAGTGACTGATTTCGTTTCCTGCAATGCATATGAGAGGTTTCTTAACCTTTAGAAGTAGAATCACGAGGGAATTATCGTGAAGAAATGATATTTTGTAATATTTATAACTTTTGGAGTCTATACGGGGAAAAATAATTTTTGTATAGAATTTAGAAAGTATTTTGTAGTATATATTTTTGTTATTATGATATATGACATTAATTATTTATATTCACATGATCTCTATATTAATAATAAATTATTATTTTTTTCATTTGTAGAAATAAATATAATTGAATTACATTAAAATGTCTATTGCACATATTTTATTTTAAGTTTTCGTTTTAATTATTTTCTTGTTTGTAAATATAAAAAGATAGTGAATGACAAAGAAGAAAGATGGAAGACACGAGATGTTGGAAACCTAATAATTTGAATTTCCTCAATAAAAAGGACCCACAAATGTCCCCTTCAAAATAAACGAATTATTGTATTAAATCAATTGAAAAGGCCCCACATATATTTTGTTTTCTTTTGTAATTCTTTCTCCAAAGATCACATTCCTTTAAACACAATTAAATCAATTCGAGAATTTTAATTATAAATTATTAAATAATATTGGAAAATTAATTTCATGTCATTTTTTTATTTTTTTATTTTTCAATAATGATGTGGTATCACCTTGTTATGACACGTTAACATCACTGATATTTCTTAAACGAGGAGTGATCAAAATGAAATCAAAACTAGAGATTAAATATGATTTTGAAAGAAAAAAAATAGGTAGATGACCAAAATAAAATAAAAGTGATAATTGGACACTGAACGTGAATTTACCCAATAATAATAAACAAAGCTTATGTATAAAATATAGGTTGTTAGAGAGAGACACGTGCATGGAAAAGTCTGAAACAGTAGCCTTCCATGTAGCGAAAAGGCCACATAGATTTTCTTATATCCATAAGCACTAATGGAAGGGTCAAAGAGAATATTATAATTAGTGAGAGAAAAAGAGAAGAAAATGATTAAAAATGGAATACAGGCCATCATCTTTACTTGTTGTTCAATTCAAAAATCAACCTAGAAGATCCTGCAGATTCTGTATGATATCTGCCGGATCTTGCTTTCCAAACTGTCAGATTTTCTTCCATGGCCAACCTTTTTAAGACTCACCTTTCTCCTTCCTCCATATCCAACCTTCTCCTCCTCCTTTCTGGGTTTTCTTCGTTCAACAATCATGGCCATGGGAATGACAACTCAGTCTCAGACTCAGTTCCATGTTCTTGCTGTTGATGACAGTCTCATTGATAGAAAACTTATTGAGAAGATTCTCAAGACTTCTTCTTATCAAGGTAAACTTTTTGGTTGTTGCAGAACAGGTTTTTAACTGAACTTGTTTGATTCAGACACAGAACATGGGCTGTTTGTTGATGTTTGTGCTTTATTACAGTTACTGCAGTTGATTCTGGAAGTAAGGCTTTGGAGTTTCTTGGATTGAATGATGAGAATATTGACAATGAAGATGAAGATGAAGATGATCAACAAGTGGGAGTGAATTTGATCGTCACAGATTATTGCATGCCTGGAATGACAGGCTATGATCTCCTCAGAAGAATCAAACAATCTTCATCTTCTAAAGACATACCAGTTGTTATCATGTCATCTGAGAATATCCCATCAAGAATCAACAGGTTTGTATAAAAAAAATTAATCTTTTCTTTCTCATGTTTGATTGATCATAATCTGACATGAACTTGATCACAATAGATGCTTGGAAGATGGAGCTGAAGACTTCTTTTTGAAGCCAGTTCAATTATCAGATGTAAACAAGCTGAGGCCTCATCTGATGAAAGGAATTGGATCTGAAGAAACGCAATCAAACATTAACAAAAGGAAGAGTATGGAAGATATTCATCCCCCTGATAGAACAAGAGCAAGATACAATGAATTGGAAGTTGTGTGATCTGCAAACCAGTTATTTTCTGGGGAAAATTTTATTGGTTTTTGGATACAAACTTATGAACCAATGCTACACAGCTATGGGATCTTCCTTGTATCAGACTCTGGTTTATACAAAATCAATGTATAGAATTTTGATTCATGTTAGAGATAAGAGAAAGCTACGCCTACCTGATTATGCTTTAGAGTTACATGGAATCTATGTTTCCAAATGTAAATTAGCACAAGGGAAATTGTAAACTCAATTTTGTTGGTTCATTAACAGATTTGCTTTCTCGAGATTTATGCCTGAAGTCTATCTTTATGTTTAAAATGTTCTAATTGACATATCTCAACAAGATGTTCAATTTTGGATTCGATGTTGTGTATGAATATTCTCGAGGTATTTTAATTGCTCTCCTTTTTCAGTTTCTCATGTAACCAAACACTATTTATATGCTCTGTAAAATGCAACAATCGGGGAAAAAGAGAAGTTTAAAAAGGATTCATAGGGAGGTTTTTCAAGAAATAAGAAATGGTAAATTAGTATTGATTATTGATTTGATTTTACAAATTTCAAATAACATTTGAACCGCAAAACATGACACCCCAACTTGAAACTTTCTGACTTGATCGAATACTTTTCCCCAATTATTTTCATATAAGAGAGCTACCGGTTTTCACTAATGCTACTAATTTTCCAGGTATATATGTGGTTACCATATGCTTTAATTTAACATTTGATCTATGCAAACACCGATAGGTATTAATAGTATAAAAGAATGTCTTGAATTCAAATAGTTATATCTACAAAATGTATTTCCATTGTCAATTGGTTAAGAAAATTTATTTTGAATAGATATTATATTTACATTATAAAAAAAAGGCATTTTTAACAAGTAGCATTTACATTGAGTGTGGGTCTAGAAACCCAATCGAATTTCTGCCATGAAAAAGGACTGCCAGAGTTATATTACTCAAACCTCAGATATAAATCTCATATACTTTACCTGTCTTATTTAATTTAAAAAATTGACATTTAAAGAAAGTAGCCACATCTGAACACTACTTAAAAGAATTGAGTCCAAATATCACAGGTCAAAATGATTAAGCTTTCAAACATTCTAAAAAAAATACATTATTGTAAAACTCAACAAATACCATTTGCTTGGCAACAAAACTATTCTAGCGAAGACTAATTTTAAGGCTCCCAAAAAAAGTAAACAAAAAGCAAAGGCAACAAAACTAAAAGGAATAGGCAAGTGACCTGATGCTTTTCCACTTAAGTTAAATGGCAGCATGACTTATAAAAATTTCTAGAAATCATCGGTTTATGGAGGCAGTTGGCCGTGCGGTGGATGACCTGATGATTGTGGTGGAGGCAGCATACCAGATTGACCACCTGACTGCAAAAAGTGTAAGAACAACAGGTTAGTATTCTTATGAACTCAAGTAAAATAGCTGATTCAATCAGGCTGCTGCAATGTGGAAGAGTATGGGTTGTATAACAACCAAGGCAACAGAATCAAATATGTGCGATATTGTCAAACATAGAACAATTAGTGTTGAGGCATGACATTGAAGGAAATAGGATGCCTACTACCTCGATTATTCACTTGGTCGAAATGGCTCAAACAAAAGGCCAATCATTCAGGACTGTTATAGTTTTCACTAAGCTATTCATTTTCTCAAACGAATTGCAAGAAAGGGAGCTTTGAGAAAGAGACAAATCACTATAGCTATTCATTTAGCTAGTTTGAGTAATGGGTGGCAATCCAGATAAATTAAAAAAGGAAATGGTTTACCTGGTAAGGATTGAACCCTGGCATCATTGGCATCTGCCCACCCTGTCCGCGATTGAATGCTCCTCCACCCTGGGGATACATTTGCCCCCCACCCACATTTGCTTGGCCCTGCATATTTTGCATACCATTTGGAAAACCTCCAACTGAAGGGGCACCACTATTTGGTAAGGATCTCGGGTGCATTGGATTAATCCCCCTAAAATGGCCTTGGGGCATCGGAGGAGGCATCTGATTCATTGTACCTTGCACACCCTAAAATTGTGAAATATTTTTTGCCACCTCAAAATTCTCCCCGATAAAAGAGTGAACATAAAGAAATCATTTAGACCACAATTTACAGAAAAATTTACCACATCAGCACAATAAATAACTTCAGCATTCTCATATCTGAGAAAATTAAATCCTTTCTTATTCCACTTCTCAAACCATAGATTATAGAATGTCTATTTGAGAACAAATATTAACCACTGGTACTGGGAGCCTAATGATTTGAAACTGAAAACCATTGCTAAAAGGAATCATATGATGTAAAACTATGTGAAAGATCATACCATTGGACCAGGCATTGGCATTTGATGTGATGAATGTGAAGGCAAAGATCTTGGAATTGATGATGGTCCAGGTGAAGGAACAACATGGGGAGGCATTTGTGGTTGAGGGCGTTGTAAATGAGGATGTGGAAGCATGGGCCTATGAGATCCAGGCTGTAGCTGTGACATATTCGGAGGTACAATAGGCCTAGGAGGCATTTGCTGTTGTAGTGACTGTTGTTGAATCTGTTGAGGGGTTTGTTGATATCCATGCTGCTGATTGCCTGCAAGAAGAGATGGATGTGGTCCAGGAGGAAGAGGAGGAGCTCCAAAAGGCATGGAACCTGGAAGAGGCTGCTTTTGGTCTCCTTGAGAAGACCCATCAAGAGACATCGCAACTCCAATACCAGGTATTGTACCCTCATTTTGAGTCAATCCAGGTGCAAATGGTCCTGGAGTTGTTGGGCCTTCAGGCACAGCAAAATTACCAGGCATACGAGCAACTAGTGCTGGGTTTTGCTCACCATATCCTAGATAAAGTTCATATTAAATATAGATCAAGATATAAATGCTCCAACAAATTTACAGAACCATAATGAGTTTAGCATAAATTCAAATATCATGAGTGAATTATTCAGGTGAAGTGGATAAAATAAATAACTGCTTAAACTTATTTTCCTTGCTCAGTATGGGGAAGAGATTAAAATGGTAAAGAGCACTGCAATAAGTAGAAACCTTGGTTCTGTCCCATGTTATATTTATCACGAGCAGTATCTCCTGGTCTATTTCTGCACCAAAACTTTGTCATGTGATCATTGCTACCACTGCATGATTATGCATATGAGTTAAACACCTGAAGGTCCGCATGGCATATAATATGCAGATGTTCTCAAATAATTTCATTAAATTTCTATCTCAAAAAATCAAATATGATACATATCCAACACTTGTTAGCATTCAAAAACAGTCCATATCAACACCAACAAGCATATGCATCTATAAAACTCTCTTAACTGTTAAAATTATAACAATGAACTACAACGAATTCATGCAAGCAGAATAATTATGTTGTAGGCTGAGTTTACCTGCATAGAAGATATCCAATAGGATGCCAAGCAATATCCCATACGCTATTATCATGTGCATTAGGAATTTCCACCTGTGGAGTTTCACACCTGTACGTCAAGAATGATATTTGGCAATTGTAAGTTAAAAAAAACCATGCATCAGTAATTACATACAACTGCAATAAATGTATAATAAATATTCGAAATTAAAGAAAAACCAAACTAGCTTTATGATACGGAATTGCGTGTTGAATCTTGTGCAAGAAAGTTTAGGTAGCAGATGAGCATTTCCATAGGCAAGCATAAAATGAATTTCAATATTAAAAATTAGTTGAACAAGAAAAGATAGCAAAGCTGCCTTTAGTGAAAATTTTATTATTTTATGGTATTATCAAGCTTACATAGTTATAGCTATGATTTTAAACTCATCGTCTACAACCTGTGAAGTTTTCACATGGTTTGATGTCTCTCCTAATTGGTCTCACGGACCAACCTAATAATCTGATCTGACTATATATACCTCAAAAGACAAACATCCAAGGTAAAAGTAAAGCATATAGAGGCACACAGTCTTTTGACGTGAGTATAAAATAATGGACAAAACAAGGAAACACAATGATGCAGTGACCGACTACTCTGAATCAGAAAACTTACCCAACAACCCAATGGAAAATGGATCCACCAAAACTCCCACTGACAAAATATTCTTCATGGAACGGGTGCCAAGCCAATGCTGGAAAAATTGGAGATCAATATATTTGAGATTAATCCTAATAGAAGTCATGACGGGAGAGAATGTAATGATCAAGCCAGATAAAAACTATAACCCGCAATCTACTTCGTATCTCAAGAGTTGTATCCCAATGGTGAATTGAATAAAAACTCAAGTCAAGAATATAGCAGATGGGTCAGTCTTTAAGTAACACGAGTCCACTTAGAATGCCTGACTAACCAGTCACATCCTTCCTGTGGCCTCGGAAAGATTCAAGTTCCTTCATAGCTCTGATATCATAAAGCTGAAATGGGAAATACAACAAAGGTGAATATGACAACACAATATTTACTCCCATCAATTAACTAACAGCTTTGCAGAAAGAAAGATGCTGACCTTTATGATCTGATCCTTTCCAGCAGTCAACACCCAGTTACCATTTTGATTCCATTTGACACGAAGTACTGTATTTTTGTGGCCATGACTGCAAAAGACTTGCATTACTACTCAAAATAATCAAAATGTAAGAAATACTATGGGTTTCACAAAATATGCACTCACAAAGAGCAAAGCTCTCTCCCTGTCTTAGCATCCCAAAGCTTCACAAGGTTGTCTTTTCCGCCTAAAGAAAAGCATACCAAGGAATTATGTAAACAAGTTGCAAAACGATCATGCAAAAAGAAGCTGGAAAAACAAACGACATACCTGAAACCAATAAGGATTTTGTAGGGTGCCAATCTACACTTTTGACATCCCAACCATGGCCTGCCTGAGTTCAAATCATGTATAGAACTTTAAGTTAATTCATGCAAGCAAGAAAAAATATACATGAAATTAGATTTTGAATTTAGCAGCCTAAACATTTATTGTTTTAAAGAAACCAACTGTAGTGGACACATTTGTCAGCAAGACATACAAGAGGCACCAACATAAGTTGCAAACAATCAACAATGGAGAGGAACACTGACGACATCACATATTATTATTATTTTAGGAAGACATCAGTTTATTATTATTAGGATATTTTCTTCAAAACGTATCTTTATGGTATTAGGCGTCTTTCTTCATTTGGAGCCCTTGCTTTAATTTCCTTAGTTAAGTCTTTTATCCAAACAAGTAAACATTAGCAACCTCTAGTTAGGCTGATTAGCAGCAATAAAAATTTTTTTTGATAGAAGTTGGAGGTCTCATTAAAAACCCCCTTCGTAATTGACCCTTTCGAAAAGGAAAGGGTCAAAAGTGGAAGGAGGAAAAGAGTACCTCATTTCATTAATAACAGAAAGATACATTAAAAAACCTTTACAAAACAGCCTGTTCTCAGCCAATCCCTGCCTTAGCTAACTTATCGGCTTCCCAATTACAACTCCTAGGAATTAACTTCACTATCAGACCCCTGGACATAACATAAGACTCAATTTCGTTAATTAAATTTCTAAAAAACACCGGAGAGATACTGGGCAACTGAACCCAATCCACTGCATTCTTGCAATCCGTTTCCAGAATTAATCTGCCCTTAGAAGCCCAAACAGATGAATAGAAAATGCCAACAGCTTTTCTAATAGCCTTCAACTCTGCTAATGGGGGAGGACCTGGACCTAATCTCTCTGAAAACGTCGCTAGAACGAAACCATTAGGATTTTTGAGGATACCCCCAATGCCACCTATCAACCCATCCTTTCTAACAGCACAATCGACGTTAAATTTAAAAAAATCAGCAGGTGGTGGGAGCCATTTATGAACAGTCTTGCTTGTAGTCTGTAGACCCTTATAACCATCCGCTAAAGTGGGATCAGCTATTAGCGAGTCCACCGGAATCTGCACTTGATGAAACTTAGTCAGAAACCATTTGACTAACCTGACCTTGATGATGAAGAAAAGTGAAGATCTGTCCAAAACCATATTTTCGAAAACAATAGAATTCCTATAATTCCATATTGACCAAAGAACCACTGCTGGAACAAAATTCCAGATCATTGAATTAGCCACCAAATCAGACCAGGAACTAATAAGGGAGCAAATATCCCCAGGCAAAACTGTTCTAACGTTCCACAGATTGAGAACATTAGTCCAGACCTCGTGAGCCACTGGGCATACAATAAATAAATGTTGAACCGTTTCTGCACTTAACAAACACAACGGACAAAGCTCTCCATCAGCTAACTGGACCCCCCTCTTTTTCAACTGAGATTTAACTGCCAATTTTTGGTGTGAAACTTGCCAAAGAAAGGATTCTATTCTAGGAGGAACCAAACCTGTCCAAACACAATTCTTCCAAAAAGGATTCGCCACTTGGTCAATCCCTATAATCCTTCTACAAGAGCTCACAGTGAACAAACCATCTCCCTTCCCTGTCCACGATAAAAAGTCGTCCACTTCCTCTGTTAGCTGAAAATTGTTCAATTTGATCATTAGTTGCAGCCATTGCTCCAACTCCCAATCACATAAGTTTCTTCTTGTACGAATATCCCAAATCCAGCCATTCGAGACATAATTACCAAACTCTCTAACCCTTCCCGATTTATTCGTGGACAATACAAAGATTCGCGGAAACTGGAATTTCAGCGGAGTACAATCAGCCCATACATCATTCCAAAAAGAAATAGATTTACCATTCCCCACTTGGATTCTAGAATGAGATCTTAGCCTCTCACCAATTACATCATTCTTCAGGAAACTACTAACAATTCCCTTCCAAATCCAAGAGTCTTGTGAAGAATACACACTATTAACCGACATAGTCGAACTATCCAAATTGTGTTTACAGCAAATAAAATTCTTCCACAAAGTGTCCTCATTAGCAAATTTCCAAATCCATTTCCCCAGCAGAGCCCGATTAGAGAGATTTAAATCTAAGACCCCTAAGCCTCCTTCATCTTTCGAACGACATACCGTTTGCCAATTCACCCAATGGATACGCTTCTTCTCTGAACCTTCTCCCCACAAAAAACCAGCCATCAACGAATTCAATTTCTGACTGACTTTACACGGCAATTTGAAAATAGATAAGAAAAAAATCGGCAGAGATGATAAGACCGATTTCAGTAAGACCAACCTACCAGCCATGGATAAAGTCGAAGCTTTCCAACCTGCCAATTTATTGTTAAAACTCTGTAAAATTGGTTCCCACAAAACCTCTGAATTCTTCTTTGCCCCTAACGGCAAACCTAGATATACCGTTGGGAACGAACCCACAAAGCACCCAATGGAGGATGCCCAATCTATTAGGGTAGCTTCTTCAATATTGATCCCATATAAATGACTTTTCGATAAATTTAGGTCTAGCCCAGCCATCAAACTAAAAATACTCAAAATTCGTTTAACATTTCTGATTTGCGCAATGGAAGTAGTGCAGAAAATTATTAAATCGTTTGCAAACTGAAGGTGACCCATATTTACCGCTTTAGTCAACATTAAATTAAGTAACTCCCCAACCAAATTGAACAAGATTGGAGAAAGGCTGCAACCTTGTCTTAAGCCTTTAGACATCGGAATCTCCTTTGTGGGTGTACCATTCAACAAAACAGAAACCGACGCAGTAGAAAGGCAATACGAGATCCACGAACACCATCTTTCACCAAAACCCATCTCCTTCATGATTCTGAGTAGAATTGGCCATTCAATCGTATCATATGCTTTGCGAAAATCTGCTTTAAAAACAACACCTTTCAGACCTTTTTTCCTCCAATAATCTATAGCTTCATTAGCGATAAAAGCACAATCTAGCAACTGTCTTCCAGGAATGAAGGCGAACTGCGAGGAGCTGACAATGCCTTCAACACACGATATGAGTCTTTTGGATAAAACTTTAGACAGGATTTTATACATGATTCCAACGAGACTAATCGGTCTATAATCTTCCAAACATACTGGATTTTTTTTTTGATAAGAAGATAGGCCTCGTTAAAAACCCCCTTCATGATTAATGGAACAAAAAAATGTTCCTTAGTCAGCGAAAGGAGGAAAAGAGTGCCTTAATAACCATTAATAAACAAGAGTTACATAATGTTTAACAACAGAACTCTCCCTTACAATAATAAACCCAAATGCTGAAAGAATCCATACACACTGAGAACTAACCGATACCGGCCTTAGCTAAGCTGTCAGCCTCAACATTAGCTGATCTAGGAACCCATCTAATAATACCATTTAGATCTCTTAACAAAAAACCAATATCTCTCACTAAAACTCTATAAACAACAGGACATCGATCATAGTTCTTGACCCACTCCACTGCTAGTTTGCTATCAGATTCAATAATAAGACGATCTTGAACCCTCGGAAGAAAAGATTCAAAGAAAGATAAACCCTTCTTAATTGCCAAAATCTCCACCAACAGCGGAGGACCTGGACCAGCCGCCTCTAGGAAAGAACCCTTCACCGAGCCATCCTCCAATCTAAGAATGCCACCCACACCACTTTTCCTCCAATCACCACTCACTGCTGCATCCACATTAAGTTTTATAAAACCCTTTGGAGGGGGGGACCAAGACACAGTTTTGATTATCGAGGACCTTGAAAGGGAACAATAATCCCCAAGAGTAGGATCCGAAATAAGAGAGTCCTTCATAATAGAAACATCGTTGAATTTTGCTAAAAACCAATTCGCCAATCTGCACCTTGCCAAAAAGAACAGATCAGTCTGATCTACCCTTCCCCCATCGAACACAATGTCGTTTCTACTCTTCCAAATGGTCCATATAACCACTCCCGGAATGAAGGGCCAGATTTTAGAGTCTAACACCATATCATTCCAAGCAACCATAAAACTTTTAGCATTGTCCTGCAAAGCCGAACACACTCCCCAGAATTTCAAAAATTTGTTCCAAAGAGTCCAAGCCACTACACAAGTGAAAAATAAATGTGAAAGAGATTCGGCCTCCTTTTTGCATAAGGGGCAAGCAACATCACCGATAGAGGAGACTCCTCTCCTTAGAAGTTCTTGTTTAACAGGCAGTTTGTTGTGCACCACCTTCCACAAGAATACCTCCACTCTAGTAAGTAATTGAAGAATCTGAAAGGTTTAGGGCCCCAACTCAAACGATTCTCTTGAAGCAAGACCGGATTATGATCCGAGAGAGACTTTGGAAGAAGACTTTGAACTATGTTCGGGAAAGAAATCAAAAAATCTCCATTAATAAGAAAACGATCCAATCTAACCCACGTTGGACACTCCCTATTGCTGCACCAAGTGTACCTGCCACCCACTAATGGAAGGTCCATTAATTCAATTTGTTGAACAAAGTTCCTGAACAGCTCAATCGTGTGCCAATTTTGAAACGCCCCCAACTTCTCATCCGTCTGTAGATAGGCGTTAAAGTCTCCTCCAATACACACTGGGACATTTATGTCTACCACAAACTCCTTTTAACACATTGAAAAAAGCCTCCTTATCCGCCTCAATAGAAGGGCCATACACATTCAAAACTGCACACTCCACCATTGACGATTTAAAAGGACCCACGATTGCTATGAATCTGCTGAAAGAAAAAATTTGTTTAACGACAAACTCATCCTCATTCCACATGCACAATAATCCTCCAGCAGCACCCACTGATGGAGAAAAATTAAACCCTTTAAGCCAAGACCCCCCTATTCTTCTTCTTAAGGCAAGCTGAAACTGATCACGCTTGGTCTCCTGTAACAACAAGATAATTGGTCTGCTCTTCTTTACAAGTCTGGCTACTGCACTGACTTTTTCTTGTCTACCTAGACCCCTAATATTCCACGATAACAAGCTTATATTCGACATAACAGAAACTAAAAACAGAAAACACAACCCAGCAGAACAAAGAAGAAGCCTAAAACTTCTTCAACCCCTCTTTAACTCTAGCTCCTCGATTTTATCCTCTAAAATCTGTTGCCCCCCTTTAAAGGAGATTCCCAACAAGTCACAAACCTCCCTAGTAGCTACAGCTTCGATTCTAGCTTCAACAGAAGCTTGAGAAGACTGAGAGGTCGCCCTGAATTGTTCCAAAGACTCCCTGACCATACTGCTGAGCACCCTTCTATAAACTCTATCAAAAAAACTTATAGACACTTCACCCACGGAGCTCGCACTTCCCGAATGACATGGAGCAATTCTAAGCTTTCTATGGTTAGTTAAACATTTTGACCGAGACAAATTTTCTGAAGCCGGAAAATTCTCCTCAGCCAAAAATTTACCATCCAAAAAACTTCCTGAAGAAATTCCATCACGATTAACATTTCTTCTGTCTTTAACACTCATATTAGAGAAACTGCCCTCTTCAAAACTGACCATATTATTCTCCATAACCATCTTCAGTTTCTTTGAATCGACCTTATTAGTAGCAGAAAAGTTATTCCTCTCTAAGTCCATATGCAACTGTGAACCCAAAGCAAGAATCCCATGAGGACTCCTCTGACCATCCGAGAGCTCCTTAGCCATTTCGCCAACCTGCTCCCCAATTCCCATTTCCTTCTCCCCTCCTGTAATCATTCTCGACTGCCTAAAAATGTCATCTTCCGCGACTAACAAGGAGTTGGCTGAAATATGATTTGGATGAAGTGAAGAAATACCCCCTGTCCTTTTAAAATTATAATCTGGCCCATAAGGGCAAGATGATTTAGTCGATGAAGAAGAGCCCATGTTATCCTCAGATTGGGTCTTATCATCCGGGTCAGTATTTCTCAAACCCAAACCCACGTGACACCCATTATCATTCTTCTGTCCTATCGACTTTGGATTAAAAGCAGGCCCAGAAAGAAAGATTTTCTTAATTGGAGAAACAGCTGCCCCATTATCATCTGAAATGACAATATTGTCCGAGACCGTTATATCCCTCAATCCCAGACCCACGTGATCCCGCTTCTGATTTATATCTGACAACCCACAGTCACTAACTTCTTCAGTTGACTTACTCGATGCAACTTGTTCCCCACTAACTCCATTCGCACCCCCATTTTGACTACTTTTCAGCCAAGATGCTACTTTTTGTCTGGACTCCTCTGAACCATCTCGATTATTAGCTGCTGCCAGATCTGGAAACTGTCCATCCCCCTCTACTGACAAGACAAAATCACTATTCAGATTATTTGAAATTTTTACTTCCATCTTCCCCCCCCATTACTTCTGGATTAGAAAACACAGACCCCAGGGATATCTTCACTTTGAAAGTTCTTCCATAAGAATCTATTTTGATCAATTCAGGGATGTCAAAAGGACTCTCCACCCTGAGCAATACTTTCACCGACGAAAGATCCAATCTGCTCTTAGATTTGTCATTAAGACAAATATATTCTCCCCATCTCCCAGTAAGTTCTTGTAAGAATGCCTCATTCCAGCACAGTAAAGGCAAGCCTAATAACTCAATCTGACAAAAGGCCATTGGAACTCCTTCATCGTTCAAAACTGGAGCTAACCAATCGAAGCATAAGCACAACTCTTTTTTCTTATTTCTCCATGCAAATGATAGCTCATCAACTGTATTAAAAGTAATGATGCAGGCCTTCCATGCGAAACCCCAACTCGAAATCTCAACTGACACTCCTTCGAGATCCAAAGCTTCCTTTATCGCAATCAGCTCCAAATAAGGTTTCATTATCCCTGTTAAAGATCTCTTGACCCAATCCGAACGGTCCACCGGAATATACATCTTCCAATCATTTCTAGCACCAGATGCTATCTGTTTTGAACCCACCGAGTTTCCCCCTGTAACTAATTCTTTTCTCATATTAAGGCCAGAAATCACAACATCCTTAAACGATCTTCCATCCCTCCTTCCTCTCGCCAACTCCACATTCTTCCCTATCCTTGCAGAATCTTGTTTTCCATACTTTTTTTTTTTGATAAGAATGACAGGCCTCCTTAAAAACCTCCTTCTTGATCAAAGAAGGAGGAAAAGAGTGCCTTAGAAACTTTATTACTCCTCCGAAATTACATAAGATTTAACGTAGACACCATACTGAAAAAACACAACAGACTAAGCTACTCAACATAACCGAAAACCTAAACTCAAACGATAAAACGCACTGGAAACGACTAAACATCAACCAATTCCCATCTTTGCTAAACTATCAGCCTCCCCATTACACACCCTTGGAATCAGTCTAATAGAGTGCAACCCCTACAATCCTCTTCCCATCAACAACATCCCTCCTCTTAGCCTTCTGGTACTTAGCAACCCCTACAAAGACTCTTCTCCCATCAAACCACTTCCCATTAACAAACTGGATTGCTTTCTTCCTACTTTCCTCGTCAGCAAATTGGACAAAAGCAAAAGTAGAGGACTTGTATTTTATTTTCTCTAAAAAACGTGGAATGAAAATTCTCAGAATCTGACCATAAGGGCTGAAAAATTCCCTTAACACACGTCTTGACACCCTCTTACTAAGATTATTGACAAAAACAGTCCATTCCTCAACGGAGGCACTGGACTTTCCCAAATTTTCTCTCGCTCTCTCTCTACCTAACGCACTCATTCTCTCAGTTTTTTTATATATTAGCAGCAATAAAATTAAGTCATATTAATTAAATTGTAAGAGTTTAAGACTCTCTCTCTAACGAGATAATGGAAGGGACTTCCTTAGGGTATCAGTGAGAAAGAAACAGAAACAAAGGGAAAAGTCCAGCTTAAGTTAGACGCTTTCCCTACAAAACGTTCGGTGACTCAATCTGTAATGCGAGACTGTAACACCAATCCGCAATCAATGAGGAAAAAGATTATGCTGCCTTTGTATGCCGCCAGGAAAACATCAAAATTGCAAACAAACTCATGCTTATAGTTGATAATTGATAAACAGTCAAGAAACATTACCAGTTAACGAACGCTCCTCCTGGCACCGGGCAAAGTCCCAGACTTTTACAGTAGTATCGTCAGAACATGAACAAAACTTTAAATCTGTCCTACAAAAACTGTAATGAAGAGTATGTCATAAATTATACACAAATAACACTCTTAGAGGGAAAACAATACTAAAAATTTAAAATGTGTACCTTAAGTCACGAACTGATTCTTTGTGAGAAGATTTATTGATCTTAATATTATTCATGTTATTCTGCCAATACCTAAAAGACAATTCCCACATAACACTTACATCAGCATAAAATTATGCCTATGTCAAACAAATATTCACAAGCATGAAAGCAGAGGAATAAATAACACAAGAGAACATTAAGAATATATACTTTATTGTGCCCCCATCATCACCAGAAACCATCCAGTTGTTATTGTGACTCCAGACCATAGATCTGATGGCTTGATCATGGGCCTAAGTATTTAACGGAAAAAAAGGTCCAAAGATATCAATGTGGATTCTCTAATGAAAAAACCTAGTTAAATAAGATAAGCATCTCAATTAATGGAAATATACCTGAAGGATCATTTCAAAATTAAATGATTGTCCATTCCATAAAGTAAATTCTCCACTTTGAGAACCCGTGATGAGACGTCTACCAGTGGGAGTCCACTAAAAAAAGTCTAGTAGCTAAGTTGATTTATGACTTGAAATAAGCATTCCTTAATACACATAAAAAGTCATAAGGAAATCCAAGAAAAAGCACAGCTAATAGCAATAAAAACAAGCTAAGTTTCTTCAGCAACATAGGATCAACTTTCATCTAAGAGATAAGCATGCAAACATGGAGGTATAAACAATGTGGCTTCTATTAGGTCCACTCTCTACAACACCTGAAAGTGAGATGGGGATAAACAAAATAAAGGTAAGTTGGAAGGTTTTCATCCAGTTCAAATCCAATTGTGGACAGACTCCTTTATTTTCAGTTTGTTGGATAAACGATGATAAACACAAAAATTTAGAAGTTAATTTGATTGGATGGGTATTTAATCACAGGAACCACATTAAAACAACACACTGAGCAAAAAATAAACAGAGAAGTAAAAAGATTGTAATATATCTCACCAAAACACGATTAATTGAACACCGGTTTTTATTTAGAGATGTATGGACAAATTTAGCAGCAAAACTTGAGGACGGATTATCTAAATAGGCAGCTGTAGGCAACATCTGCATGAAAGACCAACAGAAATACATTTGCATCAGGCAGAAAATTCATCCGGGAAACAGGAGAATGAAGATAAAGGCATGTTTACTAACATCGATTGCTGATGCTGGAGTAGGCTGCAATGTTGTCCTGTCCATTAAGTTCTGCTGCCACGTACGAACCTGCACAATCATTGATTTTTTTTTATACAAGTCAAAATCCATCAGATGTTTATAAGTTGAAGAAGGATTAGGTTGGCATAAGAGAGGAGAACATGTATGCCAAACAAAAAAACATAGATGTAATAACAAGATGGTTGAGCTACTCATGATCTTATCTGTTTTTGTAGGATCTACCTGTGACTCATGAATTGAATAGGAATGATAGGTGTCCTTGGTTTTAAAAGGCGCAAGACGCACCTAGGCACAAAAGGTCCCTAGAGCCTAGGCTCAAGGTGCAAGGAGTAGGTGCGCGCCTTTCGTAGGCGAGCACACTTTTATACAAAAAAACCTATTAATTAGTTATGGAACATAGTTTATACTTGAAACAATTTTATAAACATATCTATGCTAAAAAGTTTATAAATTACTTGTATGAGTATATTTATACTCATTACCCACCGATTAACTCTAAAATACTTGTCTACAATGTATTGATTTATAATTAAAGTTTTTAATATTTAAAACTATTATTTTATTTATTTTTATAAACATATTTTAATCCCCTTTCACCAAAATCTACAATGTTATTGATTTATACTTAATGTTTTTAATATTTAAAACTATTTTTCATTTATTTTTAAATGATACAAATTTATTTTATTATCAATTTAAAATTTGTAATTATTATAAAAAAAATTAATTTTTATATTTAATAAAATTTATTAAGTAATTAATATTTAATTTAATATTTTATTAGTTTAAAAATTAAAATTAATTATGTATTATTAAATAACTAAAATTCTAAAAAAACATATACTTTGGGTTAAAAAAGACAAAGGATGGAAGTAGTTATAATGGTTTGTTACAAATAAATAAACATTAGAGGAGAGCGCGCCTCTTGTATCTAGCCTCGCCTCATCCCAGGAGGGCGCCATCTTCAGCGCCTGGCTGCGCCTCGCGCCCAGGCGCGCCTTTTAAAACCAAGTAGGTGTCATTGACATATATCAATACAAAATGTAATAAAGGAAGCAAAGGAACAGAAAATTGAGTTTGGCCTCCATAGAAGATAACATGCATGTCAAAGGAAATAAACATGAAATAGAAACAACTACGGTTGAGACACTCATAATCTTTTCCATATTGAAAGGACCTACTCATGAAATGAAAAGGGATGATAAGCGTATTTGGTTAATATTGGTCCCAAAAAAGCAATAAAAGGGGCTAACTCTGACTAACCTGCAAAAACAGCACAAGTATTCAGGACCCCAACTTAATATTGTTGCCTTGAAGCAAAAAAGGCACAGCCAAATACCATAATGAATGGAATGAAGTAAATCTGTTTTGCCTCTATATTAAGATGGATTCCCCAGAACCAGTAGAAAACAGTGAAACACAACTTCATTGTTGATATCTTAATCTACAATGCAGGTAGAATACTAGAATTGTGCATAAGAATAGTGCCAGATGGGTTTATAAACTTTAAGCAAGTGACAAGCATATTTAAAAGTAGGCAGATTCCTAGGTAAAGAAATCAACGAAGATGTTGGTTAAGAGAAAACATAAAAAATAACAAAGATAAAAGAAATATATAAGCCATCTAACAACAGGCATAAGAATCCATGTCAATGAGATCAAACTGACAATGCAATATATAAATATATGTTTGAAAGCACATGAAAACAACCAAACTTAAAAGATTACCTGCATATATCGCACAACAGTGCTCGTATAATCGACAGCCCTCCTTTGGGTCATCTTTCTCATTCTTTTGGCGGCAAAATTATCACCATGAGCTGAAAGATTGAGAGAGACACAGAAAAGTGGCTTTCAGAACAACTAAAATTCAGATAGCCTGATTTCAGGAAAACATCAACTCATTGTCTCAAAACGCAGTACTATAATACTATTAGACTACAGGATTACCATAAAACAATGTTCATGATGCAAAAGGAACCTCAAAGTGGGAGTCCATGAAGCTTACAACCATGAGCAACAAAATTGAAATAAAAACCTATGATATAAGAACTTCAAATGTCTTCACATATCGATTTGGTAGACAATGCTTCCTAGATTTTGGAAATCGCCAATTTTAACTGAGGTACAAACATAAAATTACAAAGGAGAGGTTCTAGCATTGCCTTATAATGCAGACAACCAATAGCTAATGAAAGCTCAAGCAAATATTTTTTTTTTTTGATAGGAATAGTAGGACTCCTTAGGAACCTCCCTCATAGTTTACATTTGATGTAAACTGATTGAGGGAGGAAAAGAGCACCTCAATTTATTGATAAACCAGAATTACATAAGATACACAAAACATCCTGATCCTGAGAAACACAGGATAAACATAACACTCTAACCCTCGAAAATACACCATGACCATAATACAAAAAGCGATGGGAAAAAAACACCCATCAGCCTAACCCCACACCAACACTATCGTAACGAACAACACTAAGCCTTCAACACTCATCCGATTCCCTGCTTAGCTAACCTATCTGCCTCCATATTGCAACTCCTAGAAACCCATCTCAGAACAACACCCTTTGTAGAAACAAGAACTCCTATTTCCTCCACCAACTCACTGAAAATAGTAGGGGAAGGACTCCGTTTTAAAATCCAATCTACTGCATATTTGTTATCACTTTCAAAAATAAGTCTTCCCTTGTTGGCCCAATCGGATGAAAAGAAGAAGAGCAATCCTTTCTTAATCGCTTTCAGTTCAGATAGAATAGGGGGACCAGGGCCCACTGCGGAGGAAAAATTAGCTAAAGTGCAGCTGCAGGAGTCTCTCAAAACCCCACCAATACCACCCTGCATCCCATCTCCAGTCACTGCCCCGTCGACATTGAGTTTGAACATATCAGCTGGAGGAGGAGTCCAGCAACTAATCTTCTTAGAACTCGAATTAGAGGGTAATAAATCCGCCCGCGTAGGATCCCCTACTAGAAGGTCTGTCAGAATCTGAACCCCCGGGTATTTAGCCAAGAACCATTTAGCCAATCTAAATCTAGTAATGAAGAACAGAACAGTAGAGTCACATATGCCATTTTCAAATACAACCTCGTTTCTGGCCTTCCAAATAGACCAAAATATAACAGCCGGAATAAACCTCCAAATAAGGGAATTATTCCTAAGGTTCGACCACGAACACAAAATTAAAGAAGGGTCTTGAGGCATCACCGTAGAGATATTCCATAACCTTAGAAATTTACTCCACAATTCCGAGGCAATAGGGCACGTTAGGAACAGGTGCGCAACAGTTTCATCCTGATCATGACACATAGGACAAAGAACATCCGAAATCTGAAGTCCTCTTCTCTTCAATTCCACTCTCACTGCCACTTTCTGATGACAGATCTGCCATAATAAAGTTTGAACTCTTGGAGGCGCCAATCCATCCCAAACCCACTTCTTCCATACAAAACTCCCTTCCGACCTATCTTGTAACGATAATCGACAAGATTTGACCGAGAAAATGCCATCCCCCTTTCCTGACCAGCCCAAAAAATCATCCACACATCGTGACAGCGACGACTTGTCAATCAAAGACATAAATGCAATCCACTGGTCCAATTCCCAATCACACAACATTCTTCTAAGTTGTATATTCCACACCCAAACCTCATCTTCATACTCACCAAACTCAGAGATCATCCCCCATTTGTTTGTCGACAAAGCATAAATTCTTGGGAATTGTCTTTTTAAAGGCAGATTAGTAATCCAAATATCATTCCAAAAAGCAATCGACCGCCCATTCCCTACAATGACCTTTGAATTATTTCTCAAACATCCACCAATCTTATCATTCTTATTATAGTTACTGAGAATACCTCTCCATATCCAGGAATCAAAAGGTGTAGACGCTTCTGAAATTGAGAGAGACAAAGTGCTAACGTTGGATTTGCTGCAAATCAGATTCTTCCACTGACTATATTTTTCATTAGCAAATTTCCAAACCCATTTCCCTAGAAGGACCCTATTAATCACCCTTAAATCCAGTATACCCAGACCACCCTCTTCGATTGGTTGACAAACCGACTTCCAATTCACCCAGTGGATTCGTTTTTTCTCAAGATCATATCCCCAAAGGAAGTTGGCCATCAGCGAGTTCAACTTCTGAGACACTTTGTGTGGAATCTTGAAAATCGATAGGTAAAAAATTGGCAAAGATGAAAGCACCGATTTAACCAAAACAAGTCTGCCCGCCAACGACAGTGAATTTACTTTCCACCCAGCTAACTTCTTATTAAAATTCTGGACAACCGGTTCCCACATACCCACTGAATTTTTCCTAGATCCAATCGGTAAACCAAGATAAGACATTGGAAAATACCCCACTCCACATCTTGCTTTCCTAGCACAATCCTGAACCCTATCAGCATCCATATTAACCCCAAATACAGTACACTTTGACAGATTTAAATGCACCCCAGACATCACACCGAAGACCCTCAACACTCTTCTCAAGTTTAGAAATTGCATTGTTGAATCGCTGCAGAAGAGTATTAAATCATCAGCAAACTGCAGATGAGTCAACTGGAAGGAATTGCCAATCCTACTAATGCTAAACCCTTGAAACAGCCCTTTATCAACTGCCTTAATCAACATAAGATTTAATAATTCCCCCACTAAATTGAATAGGAGAGGGGAAAGGCTGCACCCTTGTCTCAACCCTTTACTAATATTGAATTCCTCGGTAGGGGAACCATTAACTAACACCGAAATAGATGCCGTTGAAACACAACATTTAATCCATGAGATCCATTTATCCCCAAAACCCATGTCCTTCAATATCCTGAATAAGATAGGCCACTCAACCGAATCATAGGCCCTACGGAAGTCAGCTTTAAAGACAATTCCTTTCCTCCCTTGTTTTCTCCAATATTCGATTCCTTCATTTGCCAAAAGTGCACAATCTAGCAACTGCCTACCCGGAATAAATGAGAATTGTGAAGGACTAACCAAACCTTGAATAACAGAGACTAGTCTTTTCGAGAGTATTTTAGAAATAATCTTGTAGAGACTGCCAACGAGACTAATGGGTCTGAAATCTTCAATTCCCTGTGGGTTAACCTTCTTTGGAATTAACGTAATGAAGGAATGATTCACTCCCTTTTCCCATAATTTCCCTCTTTGAAAATCTTGAACAAACTGCATGACAAGGTCTTTCAATATAGTCCAGTATTTTTTAAAGAAACCCATAGTAAATCCATCCGGACCAGGTGCCTTAGCACTGTCCGCCTTAAAAACAGCATCCCACACTTCCTGTTCAGTGATACTAACCTCTAATCCAGCCTTTTGTTCCACGGTCAATTTGGCAAAATTCAGATTACATTCCTCCACCTCCAGAGATGATATCTCATTGTAATTTACTTTAAAGTAATCAAAAATAGCCGATTTAATCATGTTGGGATCAGAAATATCAATCCCAGCCACTTTCAAAGACGAAATAGCATTCATTCTGCTCCTATTCAGAGCGCAAATGTGATAAAATCTGGTATTTCTATCCCCATCCTTGATCCATTTATTACGTGATTTTTGGAACCAAATACTCTCCTCCTTCCTATGCAGACCCCACAATTCATTCCTCCAAGCTACTAGTTGACCCCATTCTTGTGTTGAAATTCCCCGACCCTGAGACTTTAATTCCAAGTCGTTTATCCTATTTTCGAGCTCTGAAATCTTTTCTGACATCCCCATATTATTGTTGTATGGCCACTTCTTAATGGCTTTCTTCGTTCCATGAAGAATACTCAACATACCCCTTCTTGCATTCTCCCTCTTTAAAACACCCACAGCATCATGAACCAACCCATCAAACCCTTCATCCTCTAGTAAATAGTTAAAAAACCGGAAAGGTTTAGGGCCCCAATTGTTGTGGTCGTCTTCCAGCATTATAGGGTTATGATCAGATAAGGATTTCGGCAACAATTTCTGGATAACTTTTGGAAATATCTGGAAAAAAGCACCACTTAATAGAAACCGATCTAATCTAATCCACGTTGAAGCTTCTCTATTGTTGCACCAAGTAAATCTCCCTCCAACTAAAGGAAGATCCATAAGGTTAAGATTAAATACAAAGTTGGAAAATAACTCCATAGAATGCCAATTCTGTTGGACTCCAATTTTCTCCTCGGGATCTAGATAAGCATTGAAATCCCCCCCTAAGCATACAGGCAAATCAAGCTGTTGTGTAAAACACATTAGCTCACTTAAAAACTCCTCTTTATCAGACTCAACCGACGGCCCATACACATTAATAACCACACAATCAAAGTTAACAGTCTTAACCTTTCCTGATAAAGCAAGGAACCTATTATGCTTAAACTCCCTGCTCACTTCAAACAGATTTTCGTTCCACAGACAGATTAGACCCCCTGCAGAACCAGTAGATGGCTGAAAGCTAGACCCTTTTAGGAAATTTCCCCCTATTTTCCTCAACAATCCCTTTCGACATTTGTTCAACTTAGTTTCCTGGAGAAACAGAATCATCGGTTTGATTTTTGAAACTAATCTAGCAACAGCTCTTGATTTTTCCTTTTTTCCAAGCCCTCTCACATTCCATGAAATCAATTTGATTTGTGACATAATTAATAAAAGCAACAACCTTTACTATCTTGAAAAAATCAGTCAATAGCTTCTACTATTCTCACTAAGCTCCATCTTCAATATCTCCTTTTCCAGAATTTGATTACCCCCTTTGAAAGAGATCCCCAACATATCACAAACATCTCTAGAAGCAGCAGCCTCCAGTCTTGCTTCAATACATTTGTTTGGGGGCGCTGAATTAACACTGGTTCGATCCAAACTTTCCCTATCCAGACCTCTATCAAGTCTTTCATAAACTCGATCATGAAAACTAAATGACACTTCACCCTCCAAACCAGAACTATCAGACCTCGTTGGAGCAATCCTTAACTTCTTTTTCTTTATAATCCGCCCCTGGAAACCAGTTAGTATAACTGGCTTCTCAACCCTTTCCACCTCTGTTCCGTCCGTATTACCCCCTCCTTTATCCCGAATTACTCTTTCCTCCATCAAGACCTCATTAGAAACAATATTCTGTAAACTGACTTTCGTACCATCCTTAAGCAAAAATGGTACGCAAAGCGGCGTAGCTCTATCCCGACCCTGCCTATTTGAGTAATCCATCTCCTTTTGCTGTAAGTCTCCAAGTTCCACCACCCCAGATTCTATTAGATTACCACAGCCCAGCTGCTTTAAAATAACAACTGGACCAGCCGTAGAAAGTCTAATGGGCTCACTCAAGTCCTCTGATTGGGCCTTATCATTTTCATTAGAAAAAATATTCCTAATCCCAATACCCTGATAATTCCCTCTCAAATTCAAATCCTCTGCTGGAAAGTCTGACACCTTTACTCCACTAGATTGACCTTCTCCCTCCTTCCACAGTACATTCTGACCTGCTTCATCGCCTACTAAAGCTGAACTTCCATCCCCTACTAACCATCTGTCTACTCTGTCCCTAGAATCCTCAACTGGCAGGTCTGGTCTACCACCCCCAACAGCGCACTGTTCTTCTTCATCCTCTGAAAATTCATCATCTCTGGACCTATCCTCTCCGGCAACCATTGAATTTCCTACCAAAAAACTTTCCTGTTTAATAAAGACCGACCCCACGTTAATTTTAACTTTAAACGATCTCCCATACGAGCCCAGCGTAACAGACTCCTGAACATCATAGGGACTGGCCACCCTCAGTAAGGCCCTGGCCACCGCCATGTCCTCTCTTTTCACCGTCGAATCGTGGATACAGACTAGCTTCCCCCACTTTGAGACAAGTTTCTCCATAAAGAGGACATTCCAGCATAATAACGGGATACCAATTAACTCTACTGAACAGAAAGCCATCGGTACCCCGTCATCATTCAGAAGGATATCAATCCAATCAAACCAGAAGGACAATTCCACTAATCTGCTCGACCACGCCTCCTTAAAATCTTCCTCCGAATCAAAGGTTAATATGCAAGAGTTCCACGCATAACCCCAACTAGCTCCCTTAACCTTGAACCCATCACTTGCCAATCCCTTCAGCACTAGCTCCAGATCAAAGTGAGGTTTGATAATCCCTGTCAATGCTCTCTTTACCCAATCCCTTTCATCAGAGGGAATTTGCATCTCCCAAAGATTTCTAATTCCATTAACTTTACAAGGGTGACCCTCCCTACCCTTTTCATCAACCGGGACTTTCCTCATCCCATCAGACGAGGTTAAAGCAACCATATATGACCTCTCATCCCTAAACCGACTAAAAGACTCAGATCCCGCTCTACTCCTCTGTTTCGCACCCTTAGTCGACTTATCTTTATCTTTTCTGGACTTACTTCCACCAACTTGCAAGGACCTCTGCCTCCGATATTTAGCTACACATACCGAAACTCTCTTCCTGTCAATCCAAGTACCATTGACCTTCTCTATCGCCTCCAGCATTTCTTTTTCCTTCGCAAACTGAACAAATGCAAATGAATGATCTCTATAATTTGGTTTGTTAGAACTATTCGGGATATAAACTCTCAAAACACTCCCATGGTGACTAAAAATTTCCTTTAATGATCTCCAAGTGACTCTTTTGCTAAGATAATCAACAAACACCGTCCACTCCTCGCCAGAGTGCGGACCTCCTAAGACTCTCTCTCTCATTGTTGTTTATCTTTTTTTGTTTCTTTATTCAGGTTGGTCATGCATATGGTCCTTCAAGAATTGATAAAGTTGCAAAAGAATGTAAAAACACTGGGATTTCTTACCAAACTAAATGTTATTTGCTTTTTCCTTTGCCACAAAATGTCACGTTCTGGGTGTTTCCTTGATGGTCCCGCTCAAGCAAATATTTTAAAATTCAAGATTATTAAAAACACTGGACTCTCAAAATTGTTTTTCCTTAATGTAGGACATATAAGGTGTATTCACAAGATAAACTCATATTTTATGCTTTTCAAGTATTGATTTCATTTTCTAAAGATCTAAGAGTCGAGGTAGAAACTTTTTGGGAGAAGTTGCAAAGTTTAAGTACCAGGCTCTTATTTCTGTACTCAAAAGGTTTAGAATTTAATCTATGACAATTTTGGTAGTTGTCCATACTTGATTCTGTAGGACTAAATTTTAGAACTTATATCAATTTAAGCACCATTAAATTGATGCCTTTGCTACTTGCATTTTGCAATTGGCGTTTTGCATCTTGAATATTTGCTAAAGCCAAAGAGAAAAAAAAGTTACAATAAATAATGAAAATCAACACCAGTTATAACATAACTCAATTTATCTATAATCTTCCAAAAAACCAATTTCCTTCAGTAATCATATGCACTTTCTTCGTTTCTTTATTTCGCTTCCGGAATTTGAAAGCAAGTACCAAAAGCACAAAATAAATGGATCCGAAAATCTTGTTCGTTAAAATTCCAGTAGCAATTATGCTTTCTTTAGGCATCTTTAAACGAACCCTAACCCAGATGTGACGCCTCCTGAACCTCAAGTACACATTCCCTTTTTTTACCAAATTATAGACGTGTTTAAGGTATGCAATAGCCAAAAATATGAATTCCAATAATTTATTAACTAGTTTTCAAAAAAAAATGGCCATAACATTTGAATTGAAAAAAATACAAAAATTGAGAAATCGATCATTATTATCCTACCCTCATAAGGAGGAATCTGAGGAGGATGACCAGGGTGGTGATACTCTGAGTTAAGAGTAGTGGAAGAAGCAGAGGGCTGCCGCATCATTTGCGGAAGCGATGGAGGAGGACCTCTCGGGAATTCCCCACCTTGCGGCAGCGGCGGCTGGTTCTGCTGCTGTTGTGGATCACCGTACATCATTGTGAAAAAACCCTGATGAGAGCCCTAAATTGTTGGGCGGGGAACAACTGTAGTGAATGGATTTGCACAGCACTGTATAGAACCCCCTAAACCCTAATTTCTGGTAGATTTGGGAGCGGGGGAAGGATATTTGATATTTTAGTTAAAAGAAAATTGATTGCATCACGGGATTTTGACCATATCGTAAAAATGGGGTTATTACGTTGTGCAGTGCGGTTTAAAAATAACGTAACTGATTATTGATCAAACGAAAAATTCAATAAAATATTAATTAAAATGTCATGCACTTTAATTATTACCTGAGTTTTAAAATTAATTCCAACTTCGCATTAAACACAACATTTTAAGTTATAATAAATAACACTATTCATTTTACATAAGTAGCTATATTTTTTAAGTTATAACCTAAAATATTAACCCGAACAACAAAAAAACGCTATATGCTTTAATAATAGTTTTGGTTTAGAACTTAAAATATTACGTATAGATATAGTAATATTGAGAAGACAAAATTGTTTTAAGTACCGACAGACCCATAGACTCTCCTTATTTCAAAGAGAGGAGGACAAATTATTCATATTTCATTTGAAGGTCAGAGACGAATTGAAAGCTAAGCAATAGTAATTCTAAAGATTCCCCTGGTGTAATAGAGATGTCTCATACGTTACGCATAATATGTGGAAGCATCAACTTAATTTCATAGAGTCATTCGATCTTAATGCTACATGCAGTACATAAGACAGATGACGGAACGAGAAGACCTAGGATGTAGAAGATCATAACATGAGTGGTTCGATAGATTTGGATTAAGTTTATAAATTGATTCAAACTTAATTTGAGTGATTCCAACTAAAAATACTACCCCTTTTACATATTTTGTGATAATTTAGATAACATTTTAAGTTTAACCGTAAAAATTATCTATTGAATATTTTTATGATTTAAGGTAATGTTTTAGATTGGAGCTTAAAACATTATCTATCAAGCCTAAAATGTTATATATTTTGATAACATTTTCGATTATAACGTAAAATATTACATAAGTTTCTAAATTGATTCGAACATAACCTTGAGTGTGTTGTGGGTTTCTAAACTTGGTTTTGAAACTTTAATTTGAAAATACTTGGAAATGTCGACATTTAGTTGTGTATCGAAGTTAATAATGCAACTTAATTCTAGATTCATTCAAAACAATTATTTAGTAAAACGTTGCGGTTACTTTTTGACATAATGCTCAACATAAATTATGAATATGTCAGTTTCGTGTACTTTATTTTAGAGAAAAGGGGATTTTTGAACCCTGTTCTTCCAATAGGCAAAATTGATTAAACAGAAACAACAATAGGATAAATCCCATAACCTAAGCTTCTGTTCTTCATTTGATAAAGATCATACAGTCCCCAAAGGTTATAGCTTTTGTTATAATTTCTCTATTCCTTTTAGTTGAATAACTAATTGGGGGCGGGGAAGAATGGCTATAGATTTCCAGGTTTCAACATACATTAATTAGCTTATAAACTTGTAGGAGCCGACGGAATACGAAGAACTTGTTGCAGTAAGCGAGCTGCAAGTCGCCGAGTGATTTCACCAACTACACGGCCGCCTAGACTACGTGCCTCGGGTTGTTGAAGTACCTGCTCAAGAACCAGTCAGCCAGTTCCATTGGATATAATTATAATTGTGTAAAGAGAAACGGTTTGGGACTAAATGAAACATCAAGAGTTGGTTCCTCATTCAACTGCTGGGTATTTGGATTTCAAAAACTAGTTCATGCAAATTCAGGATTTTCCACAGGTTCAGGTATCCACTGCTAAACCATTAACCCGTACTGGAATCAACACAACAACTATACTGCTCGATTCAGCTAGTGACAGCATACGTTCTGAAAACCGATATTGCTTTGACTCTTCATTTTCATTTAAATATCCATGTTAGTCATATATTTGGACATCGAACAATTTAGATGAAATTAGACATAACTTTGTCGAACATACACCTATACCCGACACTAACACGCAAATCCAAGTAATATAGCTTAAATAAATACCTTCCTCTACTGGATCCATGAAAAATGGTCCATGGTGAAGAGCCAAATACTTTGCCACTTAGGCAATTTTAAACTATATGTTAACAATTAATCTTTGCACTCAAATAAAGCATGTGTATCAACCATCCAAAATATTTTGGCAAAAGGAACTGATGTAAGACACGAAAATCAATAAAATAAATTCTAACAGTAGCTTGTAACATTGGTGCTTTGATTATGACTTCTGTATTTGCATCTGTGTATGTTCACTTACTTGTAAAATAGGTTGCAAAAGAGCTGGATCAAAGCTTTTAGAGGATTGTAGAAGCCCCCAGATTTGAAAAACTTGGTCCCGAAGCTCCATCATGCTTTGCAATTCATCACTGCTCATTGCATGCGCTCTGTTTCCATTGCCATTGAGCATTAGAGAACGCATAAAAGATGGTACAGCGTTGTATGTATCAACAACTGAGCCTAGAATTACAGATTCAGTAACACGAACAGCCTCTTTAATGACCAAAGTCCTGAGTTCTTCACCATCTGGTCCCAGTAGTAGCTTTAAAACAGGTTGCAAAGCATCTTTTGCGGAGAAATCTCGGTCCTTGCTTCCCTGAACAAGAAGGTTTTCTAGTCTATTCCACCTGCAACAAACCAAAATTACATATTTCAAGTTGACAGATTTCATCAAGAACTGAATACACAAAAAAGAGAGGATGTATGAGTTATTCGTACCTAAACCTCCCATCCTTAAAGAGCAACTCTATAAGAGCATCTCTCAGATATGGATTTGGATCTGTGAGAAGCCTTTTAGCAAAGTATGGGTATGAGGCAGCTAGCACCTTAAAATTTGGATCGGCATAAAGGGCCAATCCTTCTAACACAGTAAGTGATCGCAATATCAATGCATAATAGGGAGGTACTGCATGCAAATTAAAGAAAATACCATTAAACGACATAAAAAGAATTCAGCCCATATTTTCCGCTCCCTCCTCACTCAGGCTTTAGAGGCATGTTAAATAAAATAGAGGTGTTTTTTTTATTAGAAATTGGAATTTGAAGATATAAAATGACGATAGTGGTGGAGGGTTTAAAGAAAACTACAACCACACATATATATTCAGTTTATATCATCAACTTCCATGTATTTGGAGGAACATTGAAGATCATATTCTTATACCCATGTTCGAACATGGATAATCAAAAGAATGAACAGTCAGGAGCAATATAGACTATGGTAAAACAATCCATTTAAGAAGCATACACTAACTACACTAGAGGATAGGGCTCAAAGTTATATGGAAAAAAATCAGCTCACCATTAAATGGGTATTGGTATAAAACAACACCCAAACCATCAACTATTGTTTTGAAGTTTAGTTCGCTCACAGTGTAGCTAAGAGCATCATCAAAGAAGTCCCGAAGTGCTGGCACAATTGGGGAAATGTCTACATCAGTTGACAAGAAATTAAGAGCATAGTAATCACGGGCCATAGCTTCATAATCCCGGTTAACCATGTGTACAACATGACCGATTATAGCAAATCTTGCTTCCTCTGGGGTCTCACTCATCATTCCGAAATCTAGAAAAGCAAGCTTTCCTTCAGGTGTTGCCAACAGATTACCAGGATGGGGATCCGCATGGAAATATCCATACTCTAGTAGCTGCCTGAGGCTGCACTGAATACCTGTGGTCACTAAATCCAAAACTTTCAAACCTTGTCTTTCAATGGCGGCTTGTTCATTTAGTTTCACTCCATCAACCCACTCCATTGTCAATACTTTGCCACTCGTATAATCCCAAAAGATATCTGGAACGAGGATATCCTCCTTGTCAGCATACAACATCTTGAATTTCCTTGCATTTTGTCCCTCCTGCAGGCACCTGTCAAAATTAACACTCATACCCCGAAAATTGGCACAGAGAATAAGAAAGTGCACTTCTTTTTTTTTATTTTGTTTCACAAATTCAGAAAAGATGAGTATATCAATTCTTAACTAGTTTGTACCTAGCATATGCCTTACATTATCAGAATTTATATAGCAAAGAAAATCTAAATCCACTTCCTCATATTAATTTTTCCAAACATAGAGAAAAAGAGAAGCATGTTTCTGGATGATTGAGGATATTAATGTTTTGAAGAAAAAAGTGGATTGCATTAGGATGTAATAAGATCTGCGACCAAAAAAACTAACCTGCACATAGTTGAGCTCTTGATAAACTCGACTGGCAAATTCATCAATGACGGCAACAGCATCAGTAGCGATTATGTCAACATACTTGTTAATGAAAAATCCTAAACCTCTTATGAGGTAAAAATCAAGTTCGATGACCTCTTCAATTCCAGGTCGTTGCACCTTAACAGCAACAGTTTGGCCCGAAGTCTTAAGTCGAGCTTTATACACTTGACCTAAACTAGCAGCTGCAATCGGAGCAGGGGATATAACAGAGTAAATGGAGTCCAGTGGCAACCCCAACTCTGTTTCGATGCATGAGAATGCATCTGCATCAGGAAATGTAGGCAAAGAATCCTACAAACATATCAGAGTTAGTAAAATCGACCCAAGGAGCAAAACCCCAAGAAAAGTAGACCTCACAATATCAGACATAGCACAACACAATTACATGTTCATTGACGAAATAATGCAAACACGAGTACATGAGTGTCTCAGAATGCTAATATTATTAACATGTCAACATTTATACAAATGTAGAATATCTAAACATGATTATGAGACAATAAAATACACCAATACCTGCAGCTGAGCCAGCTCCTCGAGATATTCCGGTGGGCACAGGTCCGGCCGAGTGGATAAACCCTGACCCAATTTTACAAAAGTAGGGCCTAATCTGGTGAAGATGGTCCTCAATTCAGCTGCTCGTTTTCTCTTGTTTTGATCCAGTGTCCGATTCTTTTGATCCAAAAACAGTTTGAAAGCAAAAAAACCCAAGGACACCAAGATTTCCAAAGTCCTTTTCGCTGCCTAAATCATAGCAATTTGAATTCTTCATTAATAAAAAGTTAACCCAGACTAAATTCGCTTCTCTTTATTAAATCATAAATATCAAAAAGTAAATCATCACCTTGACGGGACGGGACCCATACTTGTTGGCAAGAAATTCGGGGCTGTAAACAGACGCACCGGAAGCTCGAGCAAGGGCCCGAGCCTCCGATTGTAGGTCCTCCGCTCGGTCAGCAAGTAACAACCGCATAGAAATGGGCGACGGCGAACCGTTGACCCTGGGACTGGCTTCCACCGAAGCAGCTCGTGGACCCAATTTGTACCTCTTGGATTTGGATATTGAAAACCCTTTACCGGCCTGTAAATACAAGGAGTGACCCCCAGCTGAAGCAACAAGACTCATGACGGCCACTGCAACTACTCCCCCGTTCAACCAATGGTCTCCCTCTATATATATATATATATGGTGGAAACTGGAAAGTGTCACTTGTCACCCTTTTGATCGACTCAATGAAGGTTGGAACTATTATCTTCTTTAATTTTTTTTTTTTAACGAAAGGCTGATAGAGAGAGCTTCCATAAATGGGTTTCGTTTGGATTTTCGATAGCCCTTCTGGAAATTTTCCATTCTATAGTTAAGGACAATGTTTAAGCGAGTAAAAACCGCCATTTCTCAGTAGTCCAACCAATTAGGTGGGAAAGATGGCTATGGAAAGTTAATTCTGGGGAATTTTTTTATCATCTGATTTTTTGTTACACCTATATAAAATAAGAATAAATTATACTGATTATCATTCAACTTTATTAGTTCTCTTATTTTATTTATTATATTTTAAAATCATTTAAGTTTCTCATTAAATTTAATGTAATTAGTTTTTTTATCGTTAAGTCGTTTCTTCCACTAATAAGTTATTATGACTTGGATTTTTTATTATATTTTTAAGGGTAAAGTATAGTAATGGTCACTGAACTTTTCTAAAGATTTTATTTAGGTCCCCCAACTTTTAAAACTTATAATACAATCCCCCAACATTTAGTTCGTTTGTAATATTGTCCCCCAACAGTTACTTTGGGGACCATATTGCAAACAGACTAAATGTTGGGGGATCATATTGCATACAGACTAAATATTGGGGGACTGTATTGCAAGTTTTAAAAGTTGGGAGACCTAAATGAAAGCTTTAGAAAAGTTTAGTGACTATTACTATACTTTATCCTATATTTTATTAACGTGTGAAAATTATTCAGTAGTCTCATTCCATGGTGGTCGAAGGACAGCATCATCGTTTTCATGCAGGAGAAATGGTGGAAATACACATTATAGCACTTTTAAGCCAGCTAAAAAAACAGATGTGCTTTACTAGTGTGCAATAGTTTTCAAGTCTTACTAATAGACTGGCTTATGCTTAACCGATAGTTACAGCATTGATATTAATTTGTTTTCCCATTAATGGATGTCCTTTATGAATTATTTTGTTTGATAAGGTGGTTGATGTCAAGAAAGCTGTTGGAGCTGGAAAAGAGAATGATCGTAGTGCAAGTGCAATACGTCGAGAATTAATGAGACTGCCAAATTCTCAGCAACCAGATATGCCCGATCACTATAGTGCAAAAAATACTGATGACTTTATAGCATCAGAATCAGATAGACAAACGCTTCTTATAAAGTAGGGTTTTCTCGATTTGCTCTTTATTCGTTTCTTATTTATTAGTTCTCGATGTGATCCATTCTCTGATTTTGCTAGTTTTCTTATTGTCATCAACTTGTGGTTGTAGGCAGCAGGAAGAGGAGTTGGAGGACCTTAGATCAAGTGTCCAGAGAATCGGAGACGTCGGGCTTACTATACACAAAGAACTCTTTGCACAGGTGAGTACTTACCTGTAATCTCCCCGGTTAACATATTTGTGAGTGAATTGCAACTGTAGTCAATAGATATCATCTGATATCTGCATCGGTTCGGTGTTGTCCATTTGACATGCTAATTGGAATGCCTTGGTGTTTTAGGAGAATATATTAGATGGGTTGGGAACCGAAATGGACAGCAGAAAAAACCAACTGGATTTTGTTCAGGTAATTTTTATTCACAATCTGCAATTAGAAATATTAAATATTTGATCTTATTTTTCTGAAACTTGAGTTGAATATGCAACCCTTTAACTGTGTTACTTGTCTATTCCTTTAATGCCAAGAGAAAAATGGCTATTATTATGAACAAGGCTGGCGCTAAGGGCCAAATAATGATAATAATATTTTTGCTAGTTCTGTTCATTCTGGTCTTCTTCGCTTAAAGAGCCGAGTTTTATAATGTTCAAACACGAACACGAACAAGATCCAACATTTTTGGTAATAACTCTCTTGGTTAGTGTCTTCTCTATTGTTGAATAAATGATGACTTGAAAATGCTAAACAGAGCAAATTTTGTGTTCTTTTGGATTTTTTAACACTTCGTAAAAGATATAGTCTTACATCATTACCTTATTCTTTACTGTTTAGTTATTTGCAAATGTGATTGTCTATGATCTTAAAGGCCTTTCTTTCGTTTTCTTTAGTAAATATACAAGAGGGGATAGCTGAAGTAACAGATTAAATTAAATTGATTTGATAAAAAAAAATTGGTTTATTCAGTTTTGGTTGATTAATTCGATTTGGTTATCGATTTTAAAAATTTAAACTAAATAAATCAATTACTTTTCTTAATAAGTCTTAAAAAATATAGGGAAAAACAGTTATTTTACATAAAATTAATTTACATGTTATTTACGGTTTCTCCCATTGTACCAACTACTAGGTTTCAAGATCGTATATGTAACACCCCCAACCCGTACCCGACCCGGATATAAGTCTGAGGTGTCACATTGACTTTTCAAACTTTGTCTCATGACAAAAACTCGAGAAAATTTAAAATTTTCATTAAAGTCACAGCGGTTTGTTTAACTCAATCAATTAGTACATGCCAACTATATTCAATATACAGAATACATCTAATTCAAGACATCTTTTCTGATCTGATCTTCGGTAAGAAGTAACTGACCGGTCTTGCTCCTCTTCACTTTTCTTATAGCTTTCCGGAACCTACGTGTGAAACACTCACACGCTAAGTCGATGACTTAGTGAGGCATAAAAACATATAACCACTACTAATGCATTCATAATCTATACTTATTATATCATACAAAATCATACAATCTGTCATGCAACCACTATCCACTTATACACACTCATCATTCACATATTCTTATAACAGGTTTCATAGCACAAAACATGTAAATCATATGTAAGGTATTTATTATTATCTCTTTATTAGTCTTATTTTCGTTCTTTATCTTTTTGTCATATGTTCTTGCATCAATTCCTCTTAACCAAGCTATATACACATCATCATATCACATATATCACTTCACACCATAAAGATTACAAACCAATAACATACTATCATGCAAGGTTCTTTTATATTATTTCCTTTATTAGCCCATGTACACATGTGAGAACCATAGATATGTGAGTCTATAGAGGTTGTGCACTAATGCTATCACCACAACTCGTATAATTACACCGAAGTGCCACGTAGAATTGCACCGGAGTGCCGCGTAGAATTGCACCGTAGTGCCATATAATAATGTCCATAAGGACCACATATCATTCCTTAAGAATCATATACATATACTAGGGATCAAGTATGTGTCTCACAAGACTTCACACATGTTCCAAAGAATATATATATATCCCGAAAGACCGCGTAGACCCTCGACTCTTGGCATGCCAACTATACCCCTAGCTCTCAAGACACATAACATGGGCATTTTCTTTTATACTTATCATTTCACATAACACATAGTTCACTTTCACATATCGCGTAGCTTATATAACTTTTCGTGTCATTTTACATTTCTTGACACCTTGCTTACATTCTATTATTATGACTTTTCATAATTACATATACACATAATCTTATAGTTCATTCACATGGCTCATCATAAATTTTCAGAAGATCACACCCATTCACGTAGTTCATTTCCATGTAATTCACCTGTACCTATTTGGTTTCTCATATAATCACAGAGTCTTATAGTATTTCATACGACCTCATATATCACATCACCTAGATACATACTCAAATACTCATAGTTATATAGTACTTAAATTATTCCTATTCACATCATTCATGGTCATATTTATAAACATGCATTTTATATTCTATGTGCATATCATCACTTTATATCCAAATCTCCTAAGTGATATATTATTCTCATTTCCTTTTATAGTTCAGTCTTATCTAGTTTTCCTCCATTCTCCATAAATCTTATAACGCTAATGCACAATTTCCCATAATTGATCATATCACTACTTACTTGTCTCATTTATATTTCTATTATTTATATAACCTTTACACATGTTTACCTAATTCAGTTTCACATACTTATCGCATATGCAAATCTTATAATAAATTATCATCAAAAGCTCCTATAACATCTTCCTATAGCTTCATAGATCTTTACCATATAATTGGTCTTACATATCCCTATAACAAGTTCTATCAATATCTCCTAATATATATATATCTATTAATCTCATATTGTTCTATAGGTCAATGTTATTTAACTTATCTTACATTTTATTTTATCCCTTAAGTTGATTCCACCAATTCCCTTATATCTAAATCAGGTAATTTATATATTGTTCCATATTTTATGTCACTTTCTCTTGTTAACACATAAGTCGTGGTTACCTTACATAATTTGTGATCCTATAACTTATATCACATGTTCATATAACAATTTTCCTATAATACATAAATCATTTTCATATAACTCATATCATATAAATTCATACCACATAACATATAATACGAACAAAACATATTCACACAATATCAAACATAATCATACTTCTACTCCTACAATCATATTGGAAACAGACTTGTCGCAAGTCCAATTTCCATATTCAATACGTATATTATAATAATATGCATTCACCTGGCCTCACTAGTCAACACCGATCTCTTATCTTTTCCTTGATCGATCTTACTTGCCAAATATTCCGGAATTGTTTTACGCTTAGAATCTACATAAATGTACATTTTAAGGCAATTATTAGATACCTACACCTTGTAATTGGATACTAGCAACTTATACGAACCTATTAAACCAATATTCACAATTTTCCTTTAGGGGGAATCGGTTCCCTCATGTGGGGGTATCGGTTCCCCCATGACATTCTGTAAATTCTGGTTCGTTTGAGGGGGGTATCAGTTCCCCTTGAATGGGTACCGATTCCCCTTGCCCAGAAATCAAATTTTGAGCTCATTTCACACTTCCTATTTCACTTCCTTTAATATTCTTAACTCAAATATACATACTTAAACTAATAAATTTTCATTCAATATCTCTTTAACTTAAAAAATCCACTCCTCCACATAGCATTCAATAATCATACCAATTTTTCCATGTTACCCAAACTTAATTCTAACACTTCTAGCTTCTTATTCTCATAGATGACAAGTCAAATTCAACTTCCAATTTGAGTAATGAACTCTATTCCAAAATTTTATTCAAAAACTCTTTATCTTTAATCTCTCATAATTCCACCATCCTTTGTTTTTAAGATGATTTAAGCTTTCCTAAAGCTTAATTATCATCCAATAATCATAACCAAATCCTAAATTCAGTAAATATCAACTAACAAGAGATCTTACCTTTTCTTATGGCTTCACGGTGGAAAAGAAGAGAATGAAGAAGAGAAGTCTGGAACTCTCTCATATTTCCCACGTTTTATAATACTAAAAAAGGGAAGATAAAAATCTTTCCCATGAAAATACCATTTTGCCCCTTTAGTTCATCCATCTTTGTTATTTAATCCTGTTGAGTTAATCGAATGACGAAATTGGCCAAGAGGGGGGTGAATTGGCAATAAAAAATTTGTGGAAGCTTTTGCAGAAAATTGAAAGTAATTGCACAGCGATTTACAGTGGTTCAACTTTCTCAAACAAAGTCTACGTCCACTACCTTAGCTATCCACACTAAGGATTTTCCAACAAATTCACTAATTTGTTCTTTCTTTTGAGGCCAAAGAGATAACCTTACAATTCCCTCAAGAGTATACCCCAACTCTTGAGAACACTCTTTTCTCAAAGAGAAGATTACAAATTTGCAAACTTACAAGAAAACCTCACAAGGTAAGATGTTTGCACAATTCTAGAACAAAGAAAAGAACACTCAAAGATGAATACAATTGAGCACAAAAAGTGTTCTTGAAAGCAAAATGAATATTGAATGAAAATAGGCTTGAAATGCTCAAACTTGAGGTTTGATGCTTTCTCTTTGATTCTCTCTTGATTCTAGTTGCTTGATGTTTCTTGTTGTTGATCAATGGCTTCTAAGCTTGCTTAAATACACCTTGGATCACTTCTGAACGTTGGGGATGATTAGAGAAGATATTATAGCCGTTTTAGTGTGAAAACATTTAATAAAACAGCTTGGAGCGTGGGGGGGAATCGGTTCCCCCTCATAGGGAATCGGTTCCCTAAGTGTAAAATTCAAATATTTCGACCGTTGAACAAGGGGGAATCGGTACCCTCTTGGGGGGGATCGGTTCCCTCCGAGCATACTGGAATTCTCGGAACAAAACTGTTTAGGGGGGAATCGGTTCCTCCTATGGGGGAATTGGTTCCCTCCGAGCATTCTGGAAATCTCGGAGCCAAACCATTCAGGGGGGAATCGGTTCCTCCTATGGGGGGAATCGGTTCCCTCTGAGCAATCTAGAATTTTTGGCTTTGAATTGGTTCGAAATACTTTGTAAAATTATTTTGAAATTGTTTTATGATTAAAACTTAATTTTACACTTAAGTAAGGATTAAAAATGATTTTTGAAATATTTGGAGTAATGTTTTGATATTCGAATAGTTATATCGAATATACTTAGAAAATCATTTGGAAAATCTTAAAATCCATTTAACTTAATTTGTTATATCGAAATATAAAAATGTTTCAACAATCTCCCCCTTTTTGATATAACAAAACATTTTAGTAATTTTAAGATTTTTGAAATCAAGTTTTGAAATTACTCCCCCTTACTTTAACACTTCTTCAATTTATCATGTAAAACATTTAACACCTATTCTTCTCCCCCTTTTTGTTAAATCAAAAAGACATTGTAAAACAAGGTTTTGAAATCATTTAGCCAATTGATTTATTAATTATAAACTTAAGCTGCTAAGATCACAATCAAAAGAGAGGTTAGCCATTAGTTTAATAAATCAATATTCATAAATAATGTGAAATGGCAAAATTGGTCATATTGCTAATGATGATGTAAATGATGCAAAAATGAATAAAACACCAAACATATAAGTTCACACCATTCATAAATCCAAAATCCAACAATCCACAAAATCAAACAATCCAAAATATCCAAAATGTTGAAACAATATTCTTTTTGTTCAAAGTCTTAAAACTAAACACATAATCAAACATCCGGATCGGTAGGAGGAAAACGGGCTCGCATAGCGGCCATTTCGTGAGTGAGTTCATTGATACGAGCGTTGGTTGATTCATTGTTTGCACGTATCTCCCGAAGAATCTCTAATTGTTGAGCTCCCATTGTGGATAAATGAGACTCTATAGAGGAAAAGCACGAGTCCATGGTAGCGTATTGGAAATCGAATGTCTCCATAAAGGATTGAAAATATGGAGGCATTTGATGCGTTTGTTGTGCTTGCTCCTCGGGATGCTCTTCGGGCTGATCAGGCTCATCTTCGGCTTCATCGATATCTTGCATTAATTGCTCAAGCTCGGGATCTTCGTCAGTTT